CTTTCCATACAAACTATTATAAAAAATAACCTATAATTTTCGTATTTTAGTCTCATCTAAACTATCATGAACATAAGCAATATAGTTTCTTTTGTTTCTTAGGTTCCTTCAAACTATCATAAACATAACCTATAATTTTTTTTTTTCCTTTCCTCTGTCCCTTTTCCTAAAAAATTTCATAAAACATAATCTATAATTTTTTTTTTTGTTATTTAGATAACTTTTAAACTATCATAAATGTAACCTATAATTTTTGTTTTTTAAGCCTTTTCAATTTATCAAAAACATAACCTATAAATTTCTTGCTTTTTTCAAACTATCCTAAACATAACTTATAATTTTTTTTTTTTTATTTCTTAGGTCCCTTTCTATCATAAACATAAACTACAATTTTTAGTTCTGTTTAAATTATTATAAACATAACCTAGAATTTTTTGTTTCTTAGATCCCTTTGAACTATCATAAACATAACCTACAATTTTTTTATTTCTTAGATCCAACTATACTATCAATAAACATAACCTATTATTTTTTTTTTTTTTGCTTTCTTCAGTCCCTTTGCCTCTAAACTATCGTAAACATAACCTATAATTTTTTTTATTTCTTCAATCTACTCCAAACGAAAATAAATTTATGAAAATAAAAATTTCTTAATTATGATGCGTTTGAGAAATTCTGACCCTACGTATATATATATATAGTAAACAAGTAATAATTTGGCAGTTTTTTAAACTAGTGTATTACTGGTGGATCATCATTATTATTAATATATGAATTTTATGGACGTATAATAATATGAGGATGATGAATAGCTGATGCGGAAAGAAGGAGCAAAATTCCTCAATTCATTCGACCTACATTTCGACTGTCCTTGCATGTTCATTTCTCATGGACGTTAAAAAGTAGAGATAAAAAATACACACATATGTATCTATATATATATATATATATATATATAAAATTAATCATAAAATGTCCAGGACGATTTTTAACGATCATAACATGCTGAGTGTAAAAATTTAAAGAGCAAAGATTATACACACTTCCACCTTTCCAATTCCACTTTCACTTCCACTTTCACTACCGTTTAACAAAATTTTTTATTCTTTTTTTCTCAGCTTGGATTTTCAACATGCATGATTATATGTTTATAGATAATTTTTGATTCGTTGATTCATTTGTCATAATTATTATTTTTGAGCTGAATTTTTTATTTCTTCGAATTTAGTATTTTGCAAGAATTTTTCATTAAAACGATTTTTTCTATATTATACACAATTTTTCAATATAATCGAATATTCACTTCACAGAATTTTTAATCTATTCGAATTTTTATTTATCAGAATTTTTATTTACACGAATTTTCATTTAACATAATAGGGAATTTTAAAAAAATTTTTATTAACTAGAATTTCATTGCACTTATAGAATTTTCATTTTATTTTTTTCAAATGAATTTTCATTTATTCGAATTATTATTTGATTTGAATTTTTTTTTTTTTTTTTTTTTGCTTAAAAACTGATTTTTCTGCAGAATTTTTGACTTAAACCAAAAAATTATTTAACAGAATTTCTAATTGATAGAATTTTGTCCGAAATTGCCAAATGACCGAAACAATCGATTTTGGCGCGTTTTTTTTTTTAAATTCAATCAATCACAATTTTATGGATAATTTTTTATTACATTACAATGAATTACATCCTTTAAAGCAGGAAAAATACAAATTTAGAAAAAAGAAATGTCAAATTGTTACGGAATGACCCAAAAAAAAATCCAAAAAAACGATTATAACTTCTATAGAAGTTAATGGATTATTATAAAATTTGGCAATTGTGTTCTTTTCAATGAATAATGTCGTTTGAATGCAAAAAATACCAATTTAAAAAAAAAACGAATAATTATTACGGAATGACCCAAAAAAAATCTAAAAAACGTTTAAAACTTATAAACATATTAACGGTTTTGGAATAAAATTTGGCAATTATGTTTTTTCCAATGAATGACAATATTTAAAAGCAAAAAATACAAATTTGGAAAAAAAAGGGTAAAATTGTTACGGAATGACCCAAAAAATAATCCAAAAAACGATTATAACTTCTAAAAAAAAATTAACGAATCTTCATGAAACTTTGTAATTATATTTTTTGCGACAAATTAAATTATCCTATTTAATAAATATATAAAGTGAAGGGAAAAAATGTAAAATTATTATGGAATGACCCAAAAAAAAAATCCAAAAAACTGTTACAACTTCTAAAGAAATTAACGGTTTATTATAAAATTTGATAATTATGTTCTTTGCGATAAATCACATTCTTTCATTGTAGAAATATACAAATTTAGAAAAAAAAAATGTTAAATTGTTACGGAATGACCCAAAAAAAAATCCAAAAAACGATTGTAACTTCTTAAGAAATTATCGGATCCTCTTAAAACTTAAAAATTATATTCTTAACGCTAAAATACAATTTGTTATTGTAGAAAAACACTAATTTAGCAAAAAAAAAAAAAAAAATCATAATTGTTACGGAATGACCCAAAAAAAACAGTTATAACTTTCAAAAAATTTGCCAAATAGTTATACAAACTAAATGATTATATTATATGCAATAAATAAAATCCTTTCAATGCGAAGAAATACAAATTTAATAAAAAATGGGCATAATTGTTATGGAATGACCCCAAAAAAAATCCAAAAAAAAAACGATAATAACTTCAAAAAAAATTAATGAATCGTTATGAAATTTGGTAATTTTGTTCTTTGCAATAAAGTACATCCTTTAAATACCAAAAAATACAAAATTTTATAAGTAGAGCATATTTGTTATGGAATAACCCAAAAAAAAAATCCAAAAAACGATTGTAACTTCTAAATAAATTATTGGATCCTCATAAAACTTAAAAATTATATTCTTAGCGCTAAAATATAATTTGTTATTGTAGAAAAACACTAATCTAGCAAAAAAAATCATAATTGTTACGGAATGACCCAAAAAAAACAGTTATAACTTTTAAAAAATTTGCCAAATAGTTATACAAACTAAATGATTATATTATATGCAATAAATAAAATCCTTTCAATGCGAAGAAATACAAATTTAATAAAAAATGGGCATAATTGTTATGGAATGACCCCAAAAAAAATCCAAAAAAAAACGATAATAACTTCAAAAAAAATTAATGAATCGTTATGAAATTTGGTAATTTTGTTCTTTGCAATAAAGTACATCCTTTAAATACCAAAAAATACAAAATTTTATAAGTAGAGCATATTTGTTATGGAATAACCCCAAAAAAAAAATCCAAAAAACGATTATAACTTTAAAAGAAATTAACAGATCCTTATGAAACTTGGTATGTTACTAAATTTCATATTGATCCATTAATTTTATTAGTTAAAACCGTTTTTTCAAATTTTTTTTTTTTTTTTGGGTCATTCCATAATAATTTTTGACTTTTTTTCCTAAATTTTGTATTTTTTCGCCTCTAAAGTATTTTTTTATTTATTAGTATTTTGCAAGAATTTTAATGTTATGAACTGAAGAAATTATTTGTTTTGAAATAATTATTATTAAAAATAATTTTCGGTTATTGAAAAATTTTTTAATATAGAAAATTGTTTCTGATGAAAATTCTTGTAAAATACTAATTCAAACAAATAAAAATTCGGCTGATAAATAATTACGAGAAATTAAATTCTAAATGAAAAATTTAACTCATGTTTTTTTAGATGATAATTATCCTTTTGGATTTTGTAAATTTCTAAAGATTCAGAAACGAAAAGTTTCTGTTATAATTGACTTAAATATTTTTCAAAATTGTATAAAATTGGAAAATTAAAATCAAAATAAACTAATTAGGTCAATTAAATATCTCTCTATTGTAAATAAGTGTTGGAAAAACTCATATAAATTTATATTATATATATATATATATATATATATATATATATATATATATATATATATATATATATATATATATATATATATATATATATGTGTGACAATGCAGTATTCTATAAATCAATTACCATTCTATTCTCTATATACAATTTTGGTGTATCTAAACTAATTACTTTAAGAGGCAATTATACATCCAATTTAATTGCAACAAGAGATGCAATATATTTGGGGAATTCTTTATTAAAAAGAAACCCCCTTTGCCCAGAACATATTTAATTTAAAAAAAACACCCTATATATGCTTAAATTACAGTTTATTTTTTGATGTCGTATTTCAATTTTTAAATATTAAAATATGTGAGACAACAAATGTTAAAAAAAAACCTTCAATATTATTGAAAAAAGTATTATTTTTGTTTTTTAATACAAGATTAAAATTTATTTAAAAAAAAAATAAAAATCGATTACCGTCACAGAAATCTATATTATCGACTGATGATAGAAGCAAGGAAAATGATATAAAAAAAATAATTACCAACACAAAAATCTACATTATCGACATATGGTAAATGCAGGAAAATGATGATATAAAAAAATTACCGTCACAGAAATCTACATTATCGACTGATGGTTAAAGGCAGGAAAAATGGTGATATAAATAATTGTAGCTATTCATTTTTTTTCCTGTTTTACCATCAGTCGATAATATAGATTTCTGTGTCGGTAATCGGTTTTTATTAAAAAAAAAAAAAAAGTTTTAACCTTGTATTAAAAAAAAAATATATATTACTTTTTATTCGATAATTTCGCATATATTGAATCACTATTCTTTACAGTGAATTAAAACACAAAATTATATTGTTGCTTTATAATTATCTTTCTTCACCGTGAGTGCGTGACATTTCCAAAAAAAATTAATAAAAAAATATTTAAAAATTAATTTTAAAATTAAATTCCACCCCTCCCTCACCCCTCAGTTAATAATAATAATAATTTACTAATTGAGTGTAATTATTACTAATTAGAAAATTTAATTCTAAAAGAAAGTAATAGATTATTGAAAAAAAATTTTTTTTTTCTTTTTTAAAAACTCACCAATTTTCAGAAGCGTCCTCATCAAGAATTGTTCCATCCGCAAGTCGATGTGGAAGATTTGAACTTGGCTTTGGTCGGCTTCTAACACGTGATGGTCCAACGACGCCTGTCCTTGAGAGTCCAGCTCGAAATGATGCCCTGGCCCTATCGACTACTCGAGTCAAACGTCATTGCATAATATTAAATTAGTAAAATAATGTTAGTAATAAATTTTACTGCGTGGCGAAAAAAAGAGAAAAAAAATTATTATTTCATTTAATTTAGAGAGTTAATGGAAAATTATATATTTATTGCGGTTGCTCATAATAAATTACGTCACACATTTTCTTGGATAACCTTTTTTGACCCCACACCCCTCCTTTTTCTTTTGTTATAAAAATTTTAGGTAAATTATGGTGCCATTTTTTTTTTTTTTTTACAGTTTGCCACAAATTTTATTCTAATCTCCCCCCTCCCACCTCTTTTTTTCACCCCCCTTAAAATGTGACGTAATTTATAAACAGTGCGCGTTTATTTTAAAGAATAATCAGACAAAAAGAATCGAAATAATAATAACAATAATTATAGTAAAAATTTGTGTAAATTTTAAAGAAATAATTTAAGTTTTAAAAAAATTTCAAACAATTAGAAATTGCATTTTTATTAAAATTAAAAAGTTTTTAAAAAACAATTTATAATATAACATCAAAATCTAGGTTTTTTTTTTTTTTAAAGGGTATTTCCACAATAGAATAAGAGCAACAGAAACTTCAAAAGTTTATATTAGAATGTATTCACAATGACAAAAAAAAAATGCAACATAACCTTAAAAATTTAGATCAATTTAAAATATTTCTACATAATAGAAAAAGAGGAACATAATCTTAAAAATTTTTAGATCAATTTAAGATATTTCCACAGTGGAAAGAGAAGAATAAAATTAATAGGTCACGAGGCGAACATAACTTTTAAAATATAAGTCAAAAATATAACATAACCTTAATTAGGCTCTATTAGGGTTTTTTTTTTTTTGACAACGGAAAAAGGGCAAAGTAATCTAAAAATTTAGATCATTCTACTTCAACAATGGAAAGAGGAAACATAACCTAAAAAAATTTAGGTATATAGGTTTTGAGTGTATCCTATAAATGTAGGATACCATTTTAGGGTATTTTCACAAATTAAAAGAAGTGAATATAACCTAAAAATTTAGATTCTTTTTAGGCTTCTTCCACAATGGAAAAAAGAAACATAATTTCCAAATTTGGATGGTTTTAGAGTGTGTCCTTAAAATTTACATTATTTTAGGGTACTTCCACAATTGTAAGAGGGGGGAAAAAATCTTAAAATGTAGGTCCTTTTAGGCTATTTTCACAATGGAAAGAGATAACATAACCTCTAAATTTAGGTAGGTTTAAAGTGTGTCCTTAAAATTTAGATTATTTTAGGGTACTTCCACAATTGTAAGAGGGGGAAAAAGAACCTTAAAATGTAGGTACTTTTAGGCTACTTTCACAATGGAAAGAGATAACATAACCTCTAAATTTAGGTAGGTTTAAAGTGTGTCCTTAAAATTTAGATTATTTTAGGGTACTTCCACAATTGTAAGAGGGGGAAAAATCTTAAAATGTAGGTCCTTTTAAACTACTTTCACAATGGAAAGAGATAACATAACCTCTAAATTTAGGTAGGTTTAAAGTGTGTCCTTAAAATTTAGATTATTTTAGGGTACTTCCACAATTGTAAGAGGGGGAAAAAGAACCTTAAAGTGTAGGTCCTTTCAGGCTACATTCACAATGGAAAGAGATAACATAACCTCTAAAATTTGGTAGGTTTAGAGTGTGTCCTTAAAATTTAGATTATTTTAGGGTACTTCCACAATTGTAAGAGGGGGAAAAAGAACCTTAAAATGTAGGTCCTTTTAGGCTACTTTCACAATGGAAAGAGATAACATAACCTCAAAATTTAGGTAGGTTTAGAGTGTGTCCTTAAAATTTAGATTATTTTAGGGTACTTCCACAATTATAAGAGGGGGAAAAAAAATTTTAAAATGTAGGTCCTTTTAAACTACTTTCACAATGGAAAGAGATAACATAACCTTCAAAAGGTTTAGAGTGTGTCCTGAAAATTTAAGCCATTTTAAGGTATTTTCACAATGGAAAAAGGTGAAAATAACCTAAAAATTGATTTTTTCCACAATGAGAAACCTAATTTAAGAATTTTTCAAATTTTTTTTTCTTCTTGCAACGAAGATGAGGAAAAAAATATATAGGTATATAATGCAATTTCCGGAAATCAAGATGAACGAGTATGTGCGTGTATGCAGGGTTAATGAGATACAAAAAAAAAAAAAAAAAAAAAAAAAAAAAAACACATGATTGTGAAAAAATGCAAGTAGGACGATGAGAATCGATTTTTTGTAAATATGTATAATCACTTAATTATGCATTTTCGTTTCTAAAATTGTAATTATACGATAAGGGATGATTGTTTAATTAGAAGAAAGAAGGAAAAAAAAAAAAAAAATTACGAGATATATTATTATTTAATGCAACTACCACAAATTCAAAATGAATAAATGTTATATATGTGAGGCCTTTCTCTAATTTTTCAACAGGAATTTTTATAAATCTCAACATAAATTTATTATTATATACGCGTATATACTTTTAGAATCAGTAAAAAATTCACTGAACTCGTTTTATGAATTTTTCACCTGTTTCTTAAATTAGTTTTTTCCTTCGAGGTGAAATACTGTGTTTCATCTATATATATATATATATTATGTATCCAAAAAAAGAAGAAACTTTATAGAAGTAATTTTTACAAAAGAAAAATAATGTTCTTTAGGGTAATTCTACAATGAAATCAATTTAAGGCGAATATAATCTCAAAATATAGATTTTTTTTTTTAAAAAGTTAACATAACCTCAAAATTTAAGTTATTTTTAGGGTATTTTCACAATAGAAAGAGGGTAACAACCATTAAATTTAGGTTATTTTAAGGTACTTCCACAATAGAAAGAGAGCAACATAACCTTTAAATTTAGGTTATTTTAATGTATCACCAATGGAAAGAAAGCACTGTAATCTAAAAAATTGCAGTTAATTTAGGGTATTTACACAATAGAAAAAGGGAACAATATTTTTTGAAAATTATCTCATTTTAGGGTACTTTCACAAAAAAACAGAATAACATAACCTCCAAATTTATATTATTTTCGAATTTATCCATAAAGGTAAGGGTACAAGCGAAATTAAAAAATTTATCTCATTTTAGAGTACTTCTACAATAGAAACAGGGCACAGTAATTTAAAAATTATGGTCATTTTAAGGTATTTCTACAATAGATAAAGGATAACATAACCTTCAAATTTAGATGAGAATGTATTAGAGTACATAATAATATTAGGATGTATCCATAACGCAAAAAGGTACACAGAAACCTAAAAATTTCTATCATTTTAGGGTACTTCTACAATAGTAAGAAGGCAAAATATAACCTCCAAATTTAAATCAATTCAATATTTATTCACAGTAGAAGGAGGAGAATATAATTTCAATATTAATTGTAAGTTTAAAGGCTAACATAACCTCAAAATTTAGTTCATTTTAGGGTATTTTTACAATATAAAAAGAGCAACATAACCTCTAAATTTAGGTTATTTTAGAATGTTTTCACAATGGATAGAGAAGAATATAACCTTGATATTGAGTCAAAAAGCGAATATAACCTCAAAAAATGAGTTAAAAACGTATCATAACCTCAAAATTTTAGTCATTTTCGGGTAGTTCTACAATGGAAAGAGGACAAGGAACTTAAAAATTTAAATTGTGGAAAGAGGAAAAAAAGATCAACATAACCTTCAAATTTAGATTATTTTTAGGGTGTAACCACAATGGAAAGAGAATAACATAACCTTAAAATCGGTATATACATATATACATGTATATATTTATAAATCAATTCTGAATACCTTTTTATTTATATATATGTATACTGACCCTATATGAGGATAGTGGCGAGGGGTATAACATTTATATTTTCAGGTCAGGGTTAACGGTTAGGCGTGCCACATGTCCACTGTCGACGTTTTACAAGCACCGACATCTAAAAATAGTTTTGCGAACCGGATACAAAAAAAAAAAAAAAAACCTACTGCACACGGGCGAAAACACGGCATATGACTTCCTATACACACCTTTATAGACATTGAAAATTTTAACCAATATAACCATTATGATTTCTAAATTGAAACGATTAATTAAAGGTCTATTAATTTATCAAAAAATTTCTTAAATTTTAAGGGAATTTCTAAAATAAAGCCATTGTTTTTTTTTTAAGGAAACCGATATTGAATCATTTATAGTTTATGTTATCGATTCAACTTACATTTTAAGGTTATGTTCGACTATAGAAACCCATTTTAAGGTTATAATTAAAATAAAGCCATTATTTTCAAAAAAAAACGATATTGAATCATATATAGGTTATGTTACCGATTAGACTTAAATTTTGAGGTTATGTTCGCCTTTTACCCTCATCTAGTCAAATAAATGTAATGAAAAATTTATTTTTATTAATTGAAGAACAAGTAATCAATTAAAAAAAAATTTGTTTCCATTTATTTTGCGTAGAAATTTTGTTTGTATTTATTTTCTTTTATTTATACTCCATTTCTATATATATATATATGAATAAACATATATTTTACCCTCAAGAAAAATTGCAAGTGTGTGTAAAAACTGATTTAAAATGTTTAGATAAGGATATAGTCACTTTGTTTAACTCTCTCTCGATAAGAAAACGTGACACTTTTTTTTTTCTTTTCTTTCTTTTTATACTTTTTATTTCGCATATTCTGCGTATTTATACAGCAAATAATGAGAACGATTAGTTTATGAAGACTTAATTAGAGCAGGAGGTCGAAACCAGTGATTGTTATAAAGAAATATAAATAAACAAATAAGTATATATAAATAAGAGTACATAACCCTAACTATATATATAAAGTGAGTTCTTATTTTTATTATTATTATTATTATTAATATTATTATTATTATCATTATTATTATTATTATTATTATTTACTTATATTTATTTACAACCTCCTACTATTTTCCACTTTAATGATTAATTTTTTAAAAGGATTGCAAATATTAAAATTATTCAAATTTTATCTAAATTTTGAGGTTATGTTCGTTTCTTGATTAAAGGGAATTTAAAGTTATGTTTGTCGGACATAACCTCAAAACCCAAAGTTCCGATGAGCAATATCCTTGAATTTTGAGGTTATGTTTGAACTAAGGCCTTGAATTCTGAAAAAATCTCTACTATAGAATTTTGAGGTTATGTTCGTTTTAATACTAATATATGTAGATATATGGGTCGTTCCCACGTCAATTCGCCTGTGGGTTTGTGGTTATAACTAAAATACTAATATATTGATATATGTATGGGTCATTCCATGTCAAGAGTGACCAACCTAATCTAACAAAACCTATAACCTAACTTAACCTAACAAAATCTAACCTAGCAAAACCTAACCTAACCTAACATAACTGAACAAAATCTAACCTACCAAAACGTAACCTAACCAAACAAAATCTAACCTAACCTAACAAAACCTAACCTAAGTTTGTCAAAAACATAGGTTGGGTACACTTAACATGGAATGACCCATACTGAAGACAGCAGCGAAATATTACATAACAGAACAAAATCTAACCTAACCTAACAAAACCTAACCTAACTTTGTCAAAAACATAGGTTGGGTACACTTAACATGGAATGACCCATACTGAAGACAGCGGCGAAATATTTTTATAATATATAAATATATACTATTATATATATATATTATATATCTATATATTACTAAGTTCCATAAATTTTTTATAATTCTTTCTCCTACTTTGCATATTCTATCATCCTTTTTTTTTTTTTTAAAAAAAAAAAACTTGTTGAAAATTCATTTGCTCAGTTGAAAATTATACATCTTTGCCAAATGTTTCATATGCCAAATATATTATAATCAAATTATATGCACGAGAAATTTTTGTTTATTATTTTTCAAATGCCAAATTGCATGTATAATCATTCAGAAAAACTTTTACAATCGATTATTATAAAAGTGAAAGTTCCTTGAGAGAAAGTTTATAAAGTTTTTTCAATGGTCAATTCTATAAAAAGCTCCGCATATATAGTCAATGAGTATAAGAATAATTACTATATACTTAATTTTAGAATTAAAAAAAAAAATCTCAAGAAGCAAAATAAAAATTGGATTAAATAATAATAATAATAATAATAATAATAAAACACACACACACACATATATATATATATTTAATCGATACTCACAGCGTGTAACGAGTCTGTTGTTGGTTTGATTTGGTGGTGGAATAGTAGGTTGAGGCGGTGGTTGTGCGCTCAAGTCTTCGAAGTTTATAATTTGAAGACGTATGTCGTCTACTTCGCTTCTTATAAGGGCTATCACTTCGCTGCAGAGAAATTTTGTTCCTAAAACCGAGAAAAAAAAACAAATTTTTAACATTAAAAATTTTTTTTTTTTTTTTTTTAAATAATATTTCGAGATGTAGATTTTTAAAATAAAATTTAAATTTTTACTAATTCAACTGCCGATTAGTTTCTTAAATTAATTAGTAACCGTTTTGATTACTTTTTAGTTGAAAATTACTAAATGATATAGTAGAAAACTACTAATATACTTATTAAAGTTTACTAATTTTAATAGTAGACTTACTACAGGAATTAGTAGATTTATAGTAACAGTAATTTTAGTAGCGTCTAAGTAACAGTAGTTTTCTGCTAAAGGTAGTTTCATACTAAAAGTAGTTTCATACTAAAAGTAGTTTTATACGAAAATTAGTTTTATACTAACGGTAGTTTTAGTAGCTACTAATTAACGGTAGTTTTATACTAAAAGTAGCTTTATACTAATAGTAGATTTATAATAACTGTAGTTTTCTGCTAAAGGTAGTTTCATACTAAAGGTAGTTTCATGCTAAAAGTAGTTTTATATTAAAAGTAGTTTTATACGAAAATTAGTTTTATACTAACGGTAGTTTTAGTAGCTTCTAATTAACGGTAGTTTTATACTAAAAGTAGCTTTATACTAATAGTAGATTTATAATAACAGTAGTTTTCTGCTAAAGGTAGTTTCATACTAAAGGTAGTTTCATGCTAAAAGTAGTTTTATATTAAAAGTAGTTTTATACGAAAATTAGTTTTATACTAACGGTAGTTTTAGTAGCTACTAATTAACGGTAGTTTTATACTAAAAGTAGCTTTATACTAATAGTAGATTTATAATAACTGTAGTTTTCTGCTAAAGGTAGTTTCATACTAAAGGTAGTTTCATGCTAAAAGTAGTTTTATATTAAAAGTAGTTTTATACGAAAATTAGTTTTATACTAACGGTAGTTTTAGTAGCTTCTAATTAACGGTAGTTTTATACTAAAAGTAGCTTTATACTAATAGTAGATTTATAATAACAGTAGTTTTCTGCTAAAGGTAGTTTCATACTAAAGGTAGTTTCATACTAAAGGTAGTTTCATACTAATAGTAGTTTTATACTAAAAGTAGTTTTATACGCAAATTAGCTGTATACTAACGGTAGTTTCAGTAGCTTCTAATTAACGGTAGTTTTCTACTAAAAGCGATTTTATACTAATAGTAGATTTATAATAACCGTTATTTTCCTGCTGAAGGTAGTTTCATACTAAAAATAGTTTTATACAAACGGTAGTATTAGTAGCTTCTAATTAACGGTAGTTTCATACCAAAAGTAGCTTTATACTAATAGTAGGTTTATAATAAAAGTAGGTTTCTGTTAAAAGTAGTTTCATACCAAAAGTAGCTTTATACTAATAGTAGGTTTATAATAACAGTAGTTTTCTGCTAAAAGTAGTTTCACACTAAAAGTAGTTTCATACTAAAAGTAGTTTTATAGTAAAATAAGTTTTATATGGAAATTAGTTTTATACTAACGGTTGTTTTAGTAACGTATAAGTAACAGTAATTTTATACTAAAAGTAGCTTTATACTAATAGTAGATTTTTAATAAAAGTAGGTTTCTGCTAAAAGTAGTTTCATACTAAAAGTAGTTTTATACAAAAATTAGTTGTATACTAACGATAGTTTTAGTAGCTTCTAATTAACAGTAGTTTCACACGAAAGTACTTTTAGTAGTTTCAGTAGTTTTATACAAACAGTAGTTTTAGTAGTTCCAGTAATTTTAGTAGTTGTATACTAACAGTAATTTTTGTAGTTCCAGACTAAAAGTGGTTTTAGTTATTTTTATAGTTTTATACTAAGAGTAGTTTTAATATAGTTTCTAACTATCAGTAGCTTTATACGAAAGGTAGTTTTAGTAGATTCTAAGTAACAGTTTTAATAGTTTCTAATTAACAGTAACTTTAGTAGATATAGGCTAACAGTGGTTTATTATTTTTTTTATTATAAAACTACTGTTAATCTAAAGCTACTAAAACTACTGTTATTAAAATCAACTAAAACTACTGCTACTTAGAATCTAAACTAAAACTACCCTTAAGTATAAAAAACAACTGATAGTTAAATGCTACTAAAACGAGTACGAAACTACTAAAATTACTAAAAAACCACTGTGATTCTAAAGCTACTAAAACTAATGTTAGTATACAACTACTAAAACTACTGTTACTTAGAATACTTAGACTAACAGTAGTTTTTTTTATTAAAAGCAGTTTTAGTAGTTATATATTAGCAGTACTTTTAGTAGTTTTAGCATAAAAGTAATTGTAGTAGGTTCAGTAGTTTTATACTAAAAATGAGACAATTTTTTTGAGTACCAATTACTCAAAACGGATACTAATTATAATATAATAATTATAATTATAATAATTAATAAACGTAGCAGCGCAGTTGAATTATAGTCAAAAATAACTAATTCAGTTTCAAAAAAAGAGTATAATTACTAAATTCTTGAAAATTTTCTTAAAATCGATAGAAATAAATATTATAATAAGAATAAATTTCAAGACTGAATAACGACGAATTTTGTATACACTATACACATATATTGAAAATTAAAATTTAAAAAGAGAGAATATTAGGGGGAAAAAAAGGAAAATTAATTATTGAGAAATTGATTTAGAGAGTAATCTAAAAGTAAGGTTAAAGATTACTAGGTGAAAAGTTAACTCTAAGAAATCTAGTTGTATGTGGATCGATGACCCGTGCCTTTGAATATTATTCTCCATTTATTTGCAGTACAAACGGACAGACGTTGGTTTTCTATTTTTTCCCTAGTTTCCGACAAACGACGCCAACGCTTCCCTAAACGAAATTATGTTTCTCTATATTATATACATATTTATATTTACATATATATATATATAAACACAAAGTCGATAATACTCGCAAATCGTACGACCTACTTTTTTTTAAAAACTAAAAACCTCAAGTCACTTGAAGCATATATATATATATATATATATATTGCAATCACTAAAAACAATAATACAATTGATTGGAAAGAAAATTCATATATAGACAAGTTACAATAGAATTTGAGGTTGGATTCAATTTCAAGGTCAATGTCAATGACCCATTAAAGAAACTGGAGAGTAAATATAACTTCAATATATTAGGTTAAAAATAAGATTAAAAGGCGAACATAACCTCAAAATTTAGGTCATTTTTGGGTATTTCCACAATGAAAAGACAATTTAAAAATTAAGATCGTAGAAAAAGGGCAACATAACCTTCAAATAGGCAAACATAACCTCAAAATATAAGTCAAGATAGTTACATAATCTTGAAATTTAAATCATTTTAGAGTATTTCCACAATGGAAAGTGGGTACAATTTAAAAATGTAGATATTGAGTCAAAAAGCGGACATAACCTTAAAAAATAAATCAAAAAGGTAAAATAACCTTGAAATTTAGATCATTTTAAGGTCTGTTAAATAGAGTATATGATTACCAAAAAATGTAATTCAAAAACCTTAACGAAAATTTGAGAGACTTATTTTCAACAAAACAAAAAAAAAAAAAAAAAAAAAAAACAACAACGTCATAATTTTGAATCGAAATTAAACTTGAACAAAATAGGCTGAATTATTATATTGGCCTTGAAGCACCTATAGATAGAGAGGAATAACAAATATATATATATATATATATATAGATTCGCCCATTAATAGATTGCATTAGTTGAATGGAATATTGAATCCGCACCACACCCCTTGTTATACATAAGAAAAAAACATTTCTCTTCTAAATTTCTGATTTTTATTTGCTATAAACTAAAATTAAAAAAAAAAATGAATTTCTTCTTACAGCTACGAAAAATTAATTTCCCTTTTAGGTTTTATATTATTTTCTATATACAACAAACAATCGCGGAGTATTAAAACCTTGTCCCAGTATAGTATATATATATATATATATATATATATATAGCAACTAGAAAAAAAATAAAATTGAATAAATTTTTATTCTATCTAACCCCTTTAGTGTCATGCTAAAGTAGAAGAAATTGACATCAAATTTTCATAATTCAAAATAACAGAGTATTTTTATTTTATATTCTAAATTCGAATGAGGAAATTAAAAATCGAATTTGGAATTTTTAAAAACTAACACCGGATACGTAATCAGCGATCCCAAAAACGCCCGAGTAACCAATTTTTACAAAATCTATATAGAGCGAAAATAAAATTATAGTCAGACTTTACGCCAGTTTAAATCAGTGACACATTTTAGTAGTTTTATACTAACAACAGTTTTATACTAACAGTAGTTCTACTAATTTTACTAGTTTTGTACTAACAGTAGTTTTTTTAATTTTAGTAGTAACAATTTAATATCAGTTTTAGTAATTTTAGAAGTTTTATACTAACAGTAATTTAATTTGTTACAGTCAAACGGTAGTTTTAGGAGTTTTAGTAGTTTCAGTCTAACAGTAGTTGTAGTAATTTTATTAGTTACAATCTTACAGTAGTTTTAGCAGTTTTTGTAGTTACAGTCTAACAGTAGTTTTAGTAGCTTTAGTAGTTACAGTGTAACAGTAGTTTTAGAAATTTTATTAGTTACAGTCTAACCGTAGTTTTAGCAATTTTAGTACTTACAGTCTAACAGTAGTATTAGTAATTTTTAGTAGTTTTATACTAACAGTAGGTTATACAAACAGTAGTTTTATATTAAAAGTAGTTTTATACCAAAATTAATTTTACTCTAACAGTAGTTTTAGTAGCTTCTAACAGTCTTTTTATATAAAAAGTAGTTTTAGTTGTTATATACTAACAGTAGTTTCAGTTGTTATATACTAACAGTAGCTTTAGTTGTTATATACTAACAGTAGTTGTAGTAGTTTTATACTAACAGTAGTTTTAGTAGTTTTATACTAACAGCAGTTATAGTAGTTGCAAGCTAACATTAATTTTAGTAGTTTCAGTAGTTTTATACTATTAGTAGTTTTTGTAGTTATAATCTAACAGTAATTTTAGTAGTTTCAGTAGTTTTTGTTAAAAGTAGTTTTAGTAGCTTTAGTAGTTAGAATCTAACGGTAGTTTTTTTAGGTACAGTCTAACAGTAATTTTAGTAATTTTATAGTAATAGTAGTTTTGTAGTTTTATACGAACAGTAGTTGTTGTAATTTTAGTAGTTTTAAACTAGCAGTAGTTATAGTAATTTTTGTATTTTAATACTAACAGTAGTCTTCTAACGGACATTTTGAATTTTGTAAATCTAACATCAAATTTTTAATCAAAGACCCCTAAATAACCCCCGACTAACAAATATCAATCGAATCTATAAAAAAAAATATAAAAATATTGGTTAGACTAAACATGCCAATTTCAATCACTGACACTGAAGAGATTAATAACTAAAGAGACAAAACTCCACAAAAAAATACCTAAATATTCTAATTCACCCTTTTTTTCTTTACATTATACATGCAAATTGCTCCTCTAGAACTACATATAATAGGCAGTTATCTCTTTGAACATAAGAACCCTTACCAGCACTGACTTAAGAAAAGTGATCTTAAGCTTCTTTCTTCACACGAAATATGTGTATATGTGAAAATCTAGTATATATATATATATATATATGTAGAAATAAAGACAAAATCCCAGAGATGATACACTCCATATCTTTCCATCTAAAGAAGTTTTGAAGTGAGAAGAAAAAAAAGAGTATATCGAGGTAAACGCACGTCCAACAGTTCATTCAATGCATATATCGTTGAGAGCAATAAAGGGGATGGAAAAGAAGAATAGTTCACCAAAGAAAAGGAGAACACCTTTTGATTTTTGGGAGAAGAGGTTGAGAGCCTCCAAAGGGTATATACTCTCATCGATCTGTTCTTTCTCGTGTTCCTGAATATTGTCTTGGACTTATTTTAAGCCACATTGCAAAACAGAGATTCTATTTTTGTTCTCAAAAGTCTGTCTCGACGTGTATATATATATATATATATACTATACGCATAGTAAAAAATTTGCCATGACAGCGAACTATTTTCTCTCACATTAAATAACGTTAGCTAATATATAGAACAGCGAAAAAATTTCTTGTAAGGTCAACAAAGTTAGCTGTGACAGTAAATTTTGAAATTATTAACGTTTATCACAGCAAACTTTTTTTGTTGTCAGCAAATAATTTAGCTGTGGTTACTAATTTTGATAGATTCGACTGCAAACAGCATTTGTAATTCCTTTTTTTCCGTGTATATATACATATAAAATATCCAGATTTTAATGAGATTCAATTGACAAAATTTTGAAATATAAAAATTTTGGAAAAAAAAAAAGATAAAAGTAACATTCAAGATCAAAATGAAAATTTTTATAAATAGAAGAGCTATTTCATTCTCTACACGGTCCGAAAATATATTGACTGCGGTTAATCTAGTTGAGTGATGTACACGTGGATGGATTCTTACACATTCAACCTTGACTTGAAAAGAGAGTCTAAATGGAACATCTATTACGTTTACAAAATACTTCATTTTCTCAGCAATTCATCAACAGATTTTTTTTTAGAGTGAGAGAGAGAAAATAATCCGGAAATTGATCTGATTTCCGTTTTCTATATCGAAAAGGGGAAATTTGGTGAAAGATCTCTTTAAATGTTCGATTAGATGACGTCGTATTAGGAAATACGGAAAAGAGAGTGACGAGGTCACGTTACCTTTCTGGTGGGTTCGAATTGCCCGAGTTGCGGTTAATGGGTTAACGGCTCCCTTCCAATTGGTCGATGACGCTTTGTGCCCTCACGTGACGTCACCGAGTGCAATGCTCCCCAATGACGTGATGGTAAGAGAGAGAGAGAGAGAAAGAGAGTCATACGGCCGGTTGGAGGCGAAGTCAATGTACAGAAATAGCGAGTTTCTATATCCTCACGAACAAACGCGCGTGTGTTCCCTTTTTCCGAAAATTAATACTTTAACTATCACCGGTAATGAAAAAAAAATTCTTTCTTTCAAAAAAAAAAAATTTTTTACTACTCAAAATGTAAATTATTTTATAATTTTAGGGAAAAATATTGAATTTTCTTTAAGAAAACTAATAATCACTAAGGGTACATTAACTATCTTCAAAGGGAAGGGAGATAAAAAGTTACATAGAAGGGGAAGGGGGAAATTTAAAATTGCGAGTGAGATATCGAAACTACAAAAATTCGACAAAACTAAATCGAAAATAAAAAATATCAAAAATTATTGTGGTAATTAATTTTTTTTAACTGAAGATTCTAAAAATTAATCGAGAGTCCTATCGACCAACTAGGAAGTGCAGCGTCCGCGTTGCTAAAAGTTCATTGTCCTGTGACGCGGAAAGTATATCGTAATGCACCACGGTTGTTGCTGATGCGCGCTAGGGAAGTGAGAGAGAGCATTAGAGCGCAGGGTATGTTGGTTAGGGTGGGAACAAGAAAGCTCAATGACGTCACATGCCTCTGGCAGATAGAGCAAAAAAAAAGAAAGAAAAAAAAATGCAGAATAGGAGTATCTCAAAGTGATGTCATTGACAAGCATACTGACAATGAGGGTTTATTTAGAAGAGAAAGAAGAAGAAAAAATCATCGGGGTGATTGTAACCCTGACTTGTATTACTGTTACAATGACCTAAAATCAACAGTTTTAGGTCATGGGGGATTTTTAGTTCCTAAAAAACCTAAAATTTACCATTCTTGGTTCCTAAAAATCTAAAATTGTTAATTTCAGGTTATAGGTGATATTTAGTTTCTAAAAAAGCCTAAAATTAACCATTTTTTGTGCCTAAAATTGTTAATATTAAGTTATGGGAGATATAATCTAAAATTGTTAATTTTCGGTGTTTGGAAACTAAATATTTTCCCTAACATTAATAATTTTAGGTCATGTACTAATTTTCGTCCCTAAAAATATAATTTTTATGCCATGGGGGATATTTAGTCTCTAAAATTGTTAATTTTAAATAATTAGGGGAATTTAACACTTAGTTATAAAGAAAATAAGAATTTTAGGGACTAATTTTATACTAACAGTAGTTTTCGTATTTTTAGTAGTTTTATTCACAGTAGTTTTAGTACTTTCAGTCTAACAGTAGTTTTTGTAATTTTAGTAGTAACTGTCTAACAGCAGTTTTAGTAATTTTAGTAGTATTATTTAAAAGTAGTTTCAGTAATTTTAGTACTTGTATACTAATAGTAGTTACAGTCTAACAGTAGTTTTAGTACCTGCAGTCTAACAGTTGTATTAATAATTTTAGTAAAGTCTAACAGTAGTTTTAGTATTTTTAGTACTTACAATCTAACACTAGTATTACTAATTTTAGTAGTTAAAGACTAAGAGTAATTTTAGTAGTTACAGTCTAACAGTAACTAAATTTTAGGTTTTTAGGGACCAAAAATGTTTAATTTTAAGATATAGGCGATATTTAGTTTCCAAAAAACTTATAATTAACAATTTTAGGTTATTAGGAATCGAAAATTGTTAATTTTTAATATTTGGGGGATAATTAGTTTCCAAAAAACCTAAAATTAACAATTTTATGTCACGTGGGATTTTTCGTCCTTAAAAACCTAAAATGGTTAATTTTACGCCAAGGGGGATAATCAATTTCTAAAATTGTTAATTTTAAATCACGAGGGGAATGTAACTCGTATTTGAAAAAAAATTAAGCAGATATTCTAATCAGTGTGACATTGCTGTGATGTGGTTCAATTTTTGTCTTTTCAATTTTTCGAACAATTTTTTTTTTCAACGCCGTGGAAATTCCGTTCCAAATTCCATTGAATTGGTTGTTTCTATTCAATTAATAAATCACAGTGACACCAATCTAAAAAAAAACTTGGAAAAGAAAAAATATTTATTAAATATTATAAAACTTTTCCTTAACAAAAAAAAACATTTCCTTACACAAGTTATGAATAATAAAATAAACTTGCACCAAAGGAGATAAATTTTAATTAATGTATAACTTGTTACTAACTCCATTTAATAGATTAACATCAAGTTACTTTGTGTAAACACGTTTATTAATCAGATCGATAATTGAAAGTTGTATTTATTGTTTGTATCGAGGTCTTGGGACTTGTAATAGTTGGTATATTAAAATATTCCTGTTATGTGTCTCTCTAGAGTATGAAATGACAATTAGTAATAACTGAAAAATTATTGTTTTCTTCTAGAATTTGTGAAAAAAAAATGAAAATGAAAAATTTTTAATTGGTGTCAATTGAAATAAAAACAAAAAGAAGAGAAAATTAACAAGAGGTCACTGAAGGGGTTGAACTAGGTGAATCTATATACAAGACCACAGAGACCTCGGGATATGACTATGATTAATTATACAGTAGTTGAATATCGATCTTGGATGGCGCTTAAGGTCAGACACTACGGCATCGATAGAACATATACAACAATGAATTGAATCGATCGTTTCCCGGCGGGAACAAATTTAATTTTCCCGCTCTAAATAACTGTGCATCGAGATGTGCTCCCTCGAGAGTACCTGATGCATTTGGTATATAGAATTCATCTCCCCTTTGCGGTTTTGTCAATATAAAAACTGGAAAACATTTGTTGTTATAAGGTAAAATTTGGATCGGTGGAAAAAAAGAAGATTCGATAATGGACTAGTGAGAATATTTGGCAAGAGTGCAAATTTCTGTCTATTTCTGATTTAGGAAACAATGTCTCTCTCTCTCTCGGAAGAGCGCATAGGACTTGGCGTGCTACGATTGGCTCGCGTGCCTAAGGAATTCAGGATATCCTGCTTAGAAGTTCAGAAATACATCTATTTCCTATTAACTATTCAGAATAAATATTTCTAAGTAGAATATTTTTTTTTTTGCCAAGTGATATAGAAAATTTTTGAAATTTTCTAAAATTGAAAAAATTTCCCAAAAAAAAACTTACCGTCTTTTCTGTAGTAAAGAATTTCGAAATGTTTTTCGTCTCCTGCCAAAAGTGCGTCTCGAAGTGCAGCTACTGCATGTGGTGACGTCATTGGTCCATGGAGAAATTCGCAAACCGCTGGCCTCTGCATGACTTCTGCTCTCGAGAACCCCGTTAAACGGCAGAACCCGTCTGAGCAATATATTATGTGACATAGTCCGTGTTGAGCGTTGGCTACCAAAAAGCTTCGATCTGAAAACAAAAAATTGCAATTCTTTACCACTATTTTGAAATATTATTTAAAAAAAAAAAAATTTTGGCCTCCAGTTTTTTTTAATTCACTAAAAGAAAAAAATTTTTGCACGCGCGTAAAATATTTTCCTTCAAGGTCCCAATTTTTTTTTTTTTTTTTTTTGACGAGAGACTTTCTTGGTTTGTTTTTATTTAGTTTCCTTTCTCTATATAATTTCTAATATTAGACGGCTTTTATGTGGAACTAAAAATAAATTTTCCCCGACTTGACACTTGCGGCATGTTATAGGCTCGACCACTGAAAATGGGACTTTTGCCAACGATGTCACTGTACACATACACAAAACATCAGGAGTTCTACTTGGAAAGATTATATGCCTATTTACTAAAGTGACCATTGAAATCCATGGGGGTCAAGTTAAACCAATTTTAAATTTAGTTCCTTTTTTTGTAACGAGTATTTTGTTTCAAAAATTAAAGAGAAAAATCATTTTAAAATCTATGGCACAAAAAATTTGATGGTGAGAAATTTCTTGAAATTGAGGTTTGGAATTTTTGGCTAGAATACGTGAAAACATTAATTCGGCCACGATCACAAGGTCATTGGCAGAGATATTATCAAAAAGCAGAAAATTTCAAATAATTTCAAACACAAGGATGTGATTTATTATCTTTAGTTTTGTTTTCAGATTTGTAATTGTTAAAAAGTACGAAATAACGAAAAGTTTAAATAATTAGAAAATCGAATTTCCAAATATTCGGATTACCAAAAGACGGAATTTCTAAATGTTTAAGTAAATCAGAAAATTGAATTTTCAAAAGTTCGGATTACCAAAAGTTCTAATTATCCGAAAATTGAATTCCCAAAAGTTCGGATAAGCAAAAGACGGAATTTCTAAAAGTTAAAATAATTAGAAAATGGAATTTTAAAAATTTCGTATCACCAAAAGACGGAATTTCTAAAAGTATTTTTTTTTTTGTTACTTTTGTATTTCATAACAAAAAATTTTTAGATTATCTTAATTTTGTTTTTAAGGCATTGAATATAAATTTAAAATATCAAAAAAAAGAAATCGTCTGCTGTGAAAAAAAACACACCGGAATTAATGATCATTGCCTTCTGCCTCTCTTTCTTTCTCTCTCTTTCAATCGAGAAAAATAAACAAAAATGCTACATCTGACGGCATATTTCAGTCAATTCGACGCGGAAAAGGAAATTCCCTCTTATGAGATTTATTGCTTTCAGAAATAAATTCAAGCCTGCACTTGTTGAATTTACAGATTATTCTGGATCAACTTGCGGATTATATGATTATCTTAAGCTCTACTTTTCAAGTAAATATGTTCTATTTTTTTTCTTCTTCTAATTCTTATTCACTTTTTAATAAATAAAATTAAAAATTCATTTATTTATCCCTCTCGCTCTTATTTGAGAATAATAAATACATTGATTTTATTGTAAATTCTCAAGACGCGTGGTTCTCATTTTAAAAGAATATATTTTTCATTCTTAAAGAGAGAGAGAGAGGGGGGGGGGCTTTTCACAAAGAAAATTCATTTTAAGGAGGGGGGGAGAGGGAACGTTAGAGAATTTTAAATATCTCTTTGGCATATTTCCAAGAACGCGCGGATATATTTATCGTGTATCAGTGCTTTCCGTATTTGTGTATTGCATTACCATCGAGAAAAAAAAATTTGCTTTCTTTTTCTATATATTATTTATATTTTTTGGTCATTAAATATTAAAATTCAATTCAAATGTAAAAAAAAGAGAAAAATTCATCGAGGGAAAATGTAGAATTTCAAAAACAAGGTGTGTGAAAAATCATGTGACTTTTTTGTTTCCAATACGAAAAAAAAGTGGGTCACAACTCTCGAGGTTACGGAATTATTCTAGTTGTAGATATATGTGTGCCTAAATGTCATTTGCATTGTATTTCAATTATAAATTTTGTCCCTTTCTTTCTTAAACTATTATAAACATAACCTTTTTTTTATTTTTCTGTCCCTTTCCCTCTAAACATAACCTAAATTTTTTTTTTTTGATTTTTTCGGTCCCTTTTCCTTGAAACTATCATAAACCTAACCTATAATTTTTCGTTTCTTAGATCCCTTCCCCCAACTTTCGTAAACATAACCTAAAACTTTTTACTTTCTTCGGTCTCTTTCCCACCAAACTATCGTAAACATAACCTAAAATTTTTTGCCTTTATCGGTCCCTTTCCCTCCATAAAACATAACCTATATTTTTTTCCGTTATCCCTTTCTTCAAAAACACGTAACGTATATAAAAAATAAAAAGAAACATATAAAATAAAAAAGGGTGAATATTAAATCAAATAAATGTCATTAGGAAATCTTTTTATAGACTTAGTAGAAAATTTAAATAAGCAAATCCGACCTTTCTTCTCGAATTAGAATCTTTTCAATTGAAATCCACGTGAGCCTGCTTTATTCAGACCCTGAACTCTTGTCTGTCAAATGGACTTTTCGCGTCAAATTTCATTAATAAATTTTGATAAGAAAGAAAGGATATGCTTTAAAATAAAAAAAAAAGAAAAAAAAATTGCTTAACGCATCTTTGTGTGTCCAGTGACGAGAGCCAACGTCAGATTAGAAGCCAATAAGGCTTGACAACCTGAGGGTTGGCATACATATTTTTTTTTATTATATAAATTGGCGTTAGTACGGTTTCCTCGGGAATCTATCGAGGACTAATACCTATTAGGGGAGCTGCGTCCATCTGGGACATGTCCCACATATAAGAATCTATGGACCATTTTTTATACTGTTTTCTACTTCATTAAAATTAATAACAAAATTTATAATTGATTTTTTTACAGTACATTCCTATTTTAAATTTAACTACTGTTACAGTAGAAATACTGGCCTGGTACTGGCACCAGTATTTGTACTGTAACAGTAGTCAATTTTTGATAGGGAAGTACTTTGAAAAAATACATTATTCAAAATTGACTACTGGAGCAATACTGCATCGACTCAGTACTAGAATCAGTACCGTACCAGTACCACGCCAGTAGTCAATTTTTGATAGTGAAGAAAAATTTTACATTTGAAAAAAAACTCTATCCAAAACTGAGTATAATTTTTAAAAACAATAAAAGGGAATTTTTAATTTCAACATTCTGTTACTAATTTTTTAATCAGTTTGAAGTTGCTGATGTGTTTCAATTTTTGTCTTTTCAATTTTTCGAACAATTTTTTTTAACTCCGTCGAAACTCCGTTGCATCAAACTTTAATTTATTTTTATTTATTCAATTGGTTAATTTTCTAACCAATTTGAATTTGTTGATGTAGTTTCACAATAATTTTTGTCTTTTCTGGTTTTCCAAAAATCCTTTTTTTTCGTCGAAATTATAAATACTGTACCGCGTCAGTAGTTTATTTTAGATAAGGATTACGTCGACTATAGATATTATTTATATGGATATTTGCATTTAAATAGGCATTAAATTTTTTTTTTATAAATTGCAATTCAAAAACAAAATTCATGTATTGCAATGATTATTATTATTGTTATTATTATTATTATCATAATAAGTATAAATATTAAATTGAATTTATTTGAAAAAGAAGATAACAAAAGAGCACTTGTTGGAAAATTGTATATATACTTATTACAATATATTTGAGAGTTGCAAATAACGAGAGTGATTTGTCACACAAAATACGCGTCAATGACGAACAAACTGGCAATTGTTGGGATTTTCAATTGACTATATAGTCAATGAGGCAAAATGCGAAGGAGGAAGTGTATACCAGTCGTACAATAGATTTACCTATACTACTTTAAAAATACGTCCTCTATACAGGAGACAGGGCGGCCTGATTTGCGAATGACTTTCCTGAGACTGTGAATTCTTTTTTTCTTCAAATTCTTTACAATTTTGTTTGCAATATTTTTCAAAAAAAAAAGATATTTTATTCTTATAAAGAGATTCTAGGAGACAAAAAAAATTATAGGTTATGCTCGTGTTTTTGAAGGGAATGGGACCGAAGAAAGCAAAAATTCTATGTTGAGTTTATGATAGTTTGAAGAGAAAGAGACCGAAGAGAGCAAAAATTTACAGATTATGTTTATGTTGGAGGTACCTAAGAAACAAAAAATTCTAGATTATGCCTATGATAGTTTAGAGGGAAAGGAAGCGAAAAAAGCAAAAAATTATAGGTTATGTTTACGATAGTTTTACACTTTGATTAAAAATCATTTTTAATTATATGTAATATCAAAGTATGAAACTATCTTACAACATAACCTATATTTTTTTTTTGCTTAGCGCCATTTCTTCAGAGCGCGTCACACATATTAAATCAATCACACATGTTGCTTCTAATTTTATAAATGAAATCAAATAATTTTCTAAATTTATGACATCATCATATTCTTAACATAAGAACCTTTCAATATGGTTTATTTTGGCATGTATGTTCAATTACATCACTTTCTATTTCTATATGCATTGATTAATATATATTTAATTTGTTTTTTTCAATAACAATATCAATAATAATAAAATGATAATAATAATAATAATAATATTAGAAAATAAAATGCAGTTTTAAATTTCAATGTCCTAAAAAAAAATTGGCAATCTTTTGAGCAAAATAGAAAGATAAATATTTTGTATTATACAAATGACTCAAGTCGTTTATCACTATCAATTTGTAATTAATATTAAACGAACGTAAAATTGCGATAAAAGACCTCTAGCTCATAAATTTTAAATGCTCTTTTAACTCTACGAGAAAGTAGCCTTTTGCCAAATGGTTTTACTTATTCCGCGCAATTTGGCAAACGTCGTCACTATAATGAAGGTGTTATTATGATACATTACGGAAAGTTTACCGAATTTGTACCTATTTTTTTAATAAAAAATTTTTTTTTAAATTTTAATTAAAAAGTATTGAATTTTAATTTTAAAAATCATTCCTTAGTAAAAACTTCTAAAATTACAGTGCCACTTGACTTTTGGATTTATTGAAGTAAATGAAATAACTGTTAATTTTAGGCAGTTAAATTTTGAAATAATTATATAGAGTTGCTAACAGAGAAAACAAATTGTACAAGTTAGGCAATTAGGATTGATGCATAAAAAAACATTTACAAAAAAAAACCGTTAGTCACTGCACACAATTTTCTATTTGAACAATCACAAAGAAAGAGATTTTGATCTCACTGGCAAAGACTCACTAAAAAAAGTAACCTTGTAACTATAACCTCACAACTTTGGCGTAGTCTTGCGTCAAAATAAAAAAAAACGAAAAAAAGGCGTCAAGAAATGCGTTAACAGATTTTTTTTAAAGGCCGTCAAAATATCAACAGCAATAAAACAACAAGAGAAAAAAAACAGATGACCATGAACTGAGAATTTAATGGATAAGAAAAATATATATATGGAATGTGAAAAAATTAGAGAAAGTTTTTAAAGAAATTTTATACATCAAATTTTAATTAATGCAAATTTTAATTAATTTAAATTTCAATTAATCCAAAATTCAATTGGTAACAATTTCAATTAATCCAAAATTCAATTGATAACAATTTCAATCGATTTAAATTTTAATTACTCAAAAATACAATTTATGGAAATTTTAATTAATTTTAATGGATTTAAGTTTAAATTAATCAAAAATTCAATTTATACCAATTTTAATTACTTCCAATTGATTTTTAAATTTAATTTTTCTCTATACCAAAAAAAAAGCTTTCTTTGAATCAAAGAAGTATTTTTGTATAAAAGTTTTTTTTTTACTTTAAAGTAAATTTATTTGATTTAAAGAAATTTAAATTTTTTTAATATAAAAGAATACTTTTTTAATTTTCTAGAAAGTTTTTAGAATTAAAAATGTTTCTTTAAATCAAATAAAACTTTAAAGTAAAAAAAATCATTTCTTTAATTCAAAGAAACATTTATTTTGGTTTACTTTGAACTTTTAGAAATTTAATCTTTTGAAAATTGAATTACAAATTTGAAAATTCTACCAATATATATATATATATATAGATAACAAACATTGTGTTGCTGATGTGGTTCAATTTTTGTCTTTTCAATTTTTCGAACAATTTTTTTTTTATCGTCGAAACTATCAATACTAGTACCAGTATAGCGCCAGTACTGTACCAGTACTTAATTATTTTGATAAAGATTACATCGACCCTATAACAAAGAAACATTTTTTAGTATGTACTTTAAACTTCTAGAAATTAAATCATTTGATAATTAAAAATTTTAGAAATTCCATAATTTGATAATTCGAAATTCTACGAAATTCGATAATTCGACCAAAAACTATATATATATATATATATATATATATATATATATATATAAATAACAAACTCCCCCAACAATAAAGGACTTATAAAGCAGTAGCATTTCCCGAGCAATATTGTCCCTGACGTTCTATATAGTCTCATTGTTAGAAAAGAAAGAGAAAGAAAGTGGGGTGGGGAAATTCTCCTTTTCCATCTCGTTGTCGCCAGACCCCTTACTCCCAAAAAAAAATCCTCTTTTCTCTAACATTACCACAAAAAAACCTTATTCGCCACTTCCCTTCTCGAAAAATGATCTAAAAGACACCCTCTTTTTTTGCCCCCTTGTCATCAAGCCTGCCACGCTTCTCAACACACACACACACACACACACATATATATATATATACAAGTATATATATGTATATATTTTAAATAATATTGAAAATGGAACTCTGGCTCGGTGCCTGACGTTCCACATTCTTCTATACTACTCTCTTATATATACATATATATATATATATATATTTGATACGAGGGTTTTACGATTCTCGATTTTCTCCTACGTCAAACAAGAAAACCTCTCTTTCCCTTTGTCCTTGTAAAATGTACTTTACACCATTTTAATTTATTTTTCTCTAAGTGTTTTTAATAAATTCTTTGTTTTTAAAATTTTCTATTCAACAAAATTGTTTCATTTCTATATTTACTATTTTTTCAAATACACACAAGATTCTAGTAAAAAAAATTTTTTATTAAATTAAATTTATTTTTAAATCAAATATTCTGAAAAAGTTATTCTCATTTTGAGAGAAATATGCTAAATTAGTACTGTTATTACAATCCTCTTAAAAAAAGGGGGAAAAATACTCTCTGTTCAAGAGTAATCACTACTACGATCCTCTTAAAAAAAAGAAGAAAATACTCTTTATTCTCATTGTAAGAGGAATGTGTTAAAATAGTCGTTTTATTTCGACCGTCATTAAAAAAAGGGGAAAAAAACTCTCCGTTTGAGAGTTTCTTGTTTCAAGTATAAAATTTAAGAGAGAATTTTAGAAGAGTTTTTAGTCTTTTTATTAGAATCCTCTTAAAAAAAGAGGAAAATGTTTTCAATTCTCAATGTAAAACCTAAATATTTTCCTCTTTTTTTAAGAGGATCGTAATAAGAAGACTACTTTAGCATATTCCTCTCACATTGATAATAGAAGGTATTTTCCTCTTTTTTTAAGAGGATTGTACTAAAGAACTAAAAACTCTAACAAAATAATTTTAAATTTTATACTTGAAACAAGAGAATTACTCTTGCATGGAGTGTATTTTTCACCTTTTTGAGAGGATCGTAATACTACTTTAGCACATTCTTCTTACATTGAGAATAGAGTATTTTCCTCTTTTTTTGAAAGGACTTTTTTCCTCTTAGTAAAAGAACTAAAAATTCTTACAAAATCATCTTAAAATTTATACTTAAAAAAAGAGTATTCTATGTGTACACTATAAAAATTGTGGATCGTGTGGATAACGTTTAATTTGCTGAGGTACTAATAAGAAAAGAATATGTAGTTTAAAGTAATTTAAGTCATGCAAGCTCCTTAACAAATTGATCGTATATAAACAATTGTCACTTTGCTAATGTTCACCTTGACCTAATGAGAATATGATATAAAATATTAGGAAGAATATCTCATATATATATATATATATATATATATATACTACACTCAAAAGTACTTCGCATAAAAGAAATTACTGAGGAATTAAATTACTCTAAGAATTACTATATACATAACATCAAAGAACTATAATTTTTCATTTAAACGAGAGAAAGAAATTTACAATACTATAATTTGGTTAATGAATTATAGGTTATGTTTATGAGTTTTATACCTTAATCTAAAAATATAGGTTATGTTTAAATTTATACGTTGGGCAAAAAAATTACAAATTATGTTTATGATAGTTTTTAAATTTTGGTTAAAAAATTATAGGCTATGTTTAAGTTTTAAACTTTGGTCAAAAAAATTACAGTTTATGTTTAAATTTTAAATCTTGGTTTAAAAAAAAATGTGAGTTTTACACCTCGGTTAAAAAATTATAGATTATGTTTATGATAGTTTTGTACCTTGATTGAAAAAAATAAATATGTTATAGAAACAACAAAAAAATTATAGATATAGGTTGGAAGGATTTATGAAGCAAAAAAATTCTAGTTTACGCCTATGATAGTTTAAAGAGAAAAAGACCGAAGTAAATAAATATTTACAAATTATGTTTTTAGGACATTTTTATAAGTGGGTTAAAAAAAATTTTTTAGGTTATGTTTATGAAAAGTTTGGAGAGAAAGGGACCAAAGAAAGTTAAAATCGTAGATTATGTTTAGAATAGTTTGAATGGACTTAAGAAACAAAAAAATTCTAGGTTATGTCTATAATAGTTTAAAGGGAAAGGGACCGAAAAAAGCAAAAAAAAAAATTTATAGGTTATAACCAAAAAAAAAAATCGAATTTAAAACAAACCGAAAACTCACCATGAGTGTCAAATTTTCTAATGATGGTTTCAATAATAGTTGTCCTGGGTGCCACGTGACCTCTTCTAACAGGCATCTCAGGATTTCAAGAGGCCCAGACACTTGGGCTACGCAAAACAACTATATACGAATCGTTATCACTAAGCACTAAACACACTCGCAATGAATCACGAGGGCACGGTATAAAAAGCACAGCACGAGTTGAGCACAATATACAGTATAATAACAATAATAATAATAATAATAAATTATTATTATTATTTAATCGGCTAAGAACACTAGGCTAAATAAGTTCTCATTTTTTTATAGGCCATGAATGTATATATATATATATATTTTTATATATACTTTTTTAAATATTTATAAATATTTATAGAGAAAGACACAGTGAATGAAACGCGATAAAGAGAAATTTGTAACTATTCGGCTTATTATTAAAGCGCGGAGATAAAAATTCGTTGCGAAGATCGGACGATTATCTATATAGATATAAATATTATTTTTGGTCCATGTTTTTCTTCCGGTAAAAAAAGCGCAGAAACGGATCAAGCGTTCAATTTCTATTATTATTTTTATAATAATAATGATAATTCTACGATTTTTTGAAAAAAGACGTTTTCAAATGTGAGAATTTTGTCTTTAAATAAAAAAAGTTTCTATATTTTTGTTTTTTGGACAAAAAATTCAAAGAAAAAAGAAAAAAACCTAAGGAAAATTGGTTCTTTTATCTTTTTCAATCCATTACACAACCTTTTCCTTTCTTTTTATTTGCGATCCTTAGTATTTCAGTTCCCACTTCCTTTGATCCTTGATCAATCTTCATTTTCATTTTTTTTTCCTCAAATAAAATTTGTAAATTTAAAATCATTTGTTTAGTTTCAATCATTTCCTAAAATTTTTGTTTATTTCTTCATTTACCAAAATTTTTATTGTTTATTCACTTTTAAAATTTAATTATTTTTTTTTTGGAAATTTTTCTTATTTCTTCACTTTCAAAATTTGATTATTTCTTCTTTTTTCAAATTTTACTTTTTTTCTTCACTTCCAAAATTTGATTATTTCTTCTTTTTTTCAAATTTTGCTTCTTTCTTCACTTCCAAAATTTAATTATTTCTTCTTTTTCCAAATTTTCCTTATTTCTTCACTTGCAAAAATTTAATTATTTCTTGTTCCAAATTTTCTGTAGGCGTTATATGTTAAAATCGAAAACTCAATTTTTAATCCCACTTTTAGATTCCAAATTTCTTCTTTTTCTTCACTATTTCCGTTGTCACAAGAAAAAATTCTTCGATTTCGTTATTTTCAATCAAAAACGAATTTTCGATGTCAAAATAAATTTTAAAATTTTGACAATTAATGAGGCACTTGATCATTGGCCTATTGCACATTTCGATTTTAAAAAATGGTGTTTAGGAATTTTTTTTTTTTTTTTTCTTTCTAATTCTGAATTATTGACATCAGAGAAATTTAAAAATAAAAAAAAACAGAGAAAGAGAAAGAAATGAGATATAGAGAAAGACAGAGGCACTGAAGAGGAAGCTCTTCCTCTAGAAAAAGGCGTCCTATAGACAAGAAGAAAAAAGGCACATTATAGCAGTCGAGTTTTTTTTTTTGCGAATTATAATTATATTTATCGAATTAGCTGAAGTCTCCAAAAAAAGAAAAAATTATTCACTTTACATTCACAAAAATTGACCCAAAAAACATTTCTATTTTTATTTAAATATCACACTTTGTTTTTTTTTCTATTCGCGTTAAAAAATTTGCTACACTGAGAAAAAGATTACCAGAAGATTTTATTTGCTTTTTTTGTTTTTGTATCGTTACTTCATTTTTTTCCTTTTATTTTTGGTTTTTCTTTGTTTCCTTTTTGTATTTTTAATTTTTTTATTTTCGTTTTGTTTTTGTATTCTTTGCCTTCTGTATTTTACTATTTATAAGCTTCGATTTGCTTGACGGATTAATTTTAATTGCATCGGTTTGGGAAATCCAAAAAAAAAAAAACAACCACAAGTTCCCAAAAAAATTGACAATTTCTAAATTCCTGGTTATTTATGAGCATTGCCCAATAATCCAATCGACCTAAAAAAAATTCTTGCTTTTTAGAAAGCTTACATTAATCCAAAATTTTTAAATAAAAACCTTCACACAAGCGTCTATGATAAAAAAAAAAAAGTGTTATCTGTCAACTTTTGTTTGTGTCTTTTTAAAATGAAACATTTTTCACGATCATGCCCTGCTTTTTCGAATCCAGTCAGCTGAGGAGCTCGTTGCATTCGTACCTCTCTCAGGGACAGTTATTTCCGTAAGACTCCTCACTATTTTTCATTCTCAAAAAAAATTTTTTTACAACAAAAACAATGTTTGGAATGTAACTCTAATTCACAAAAAAAATTATCCAAATTTAGGGGTACTTGGAAAAAAATATTCCGAAACGAATCACATTTTTTTTTTTCTAAATTAATCCCTTAAAACACCTGTTTATCCAATTTTGAAATATTGCTAAACCATTTTTTAAACATATCCTAAAATCACTTTTGTTTTTTTCAAAAAATCACTTAAACACAAAATACACTTTTTAGAAATTACGAAAAGTTATTTTTGAGTATTAATTTCTCTACTTTCTTTTTGTAAACATTGACAGTTGGATTAGTGTAGAAATATGTTGTTTTTTTTTTTTGAAGAAAGGAGGCGCGCACGATTAGTCGACGTACCTCGAACGACGACCACGAAAACGAAGGCGAAACCACGATACAACAACGACGACGACGGCGATCACCACACGATGAAAATTTTCAAAGACAAAAGGCGCTTGCGTCGCGACGCCTCTCAACCCCACTTTTATTACTACTACACTGGGTATATAGGTATTGGTGTGTGAATGCAATCCCCCAATATTCTCGACTATCAAAACCATCCCCCTCTGTTCAATTCTAAACAATGGAAAGGATCATAATATAATAAATTCTGTATACCGATTAGAAAGCTTTTTTTTGTTCTCTTTTTGCTATATATATAAAAGCAACAAATATTATCCACGTTGATCCGATTTTTATTGTATTGAAACATAGGGGTTTTTTTTTTTTTTAATCTACTTTCTGGATAAACATAATTTTTATATAAAGTGGAATTTTTCAATCAAGGAAAAGTATAAACATAACCTATATTTGCTATCTTTGATCCCTTACCCATAAAAACTATCGTTAACATAACCTATAATTTTTACTTCCTTCAGTCCCCTATCGTAAACTTAACCTACAATTTTTTGTTTTCTTCGGTCCCCTACCCTTTAAACTATCGTAAACATAAACCATAATTTTTGCCTTGTTCGGTCCCTTATCCTCTAAACTATCGTAAACTTAATCTACAAATTTTTGATTCCTTCGATCCTCTACCATACTAAATTATTGTAAACATAACCTAAAATTTTTTCTTTGTTAGATCCCTCTAAACTATTATTAACATAATCTATAATTTTTTTACCTTCTTCGGTCCCTTTTCATCTAAACTATCATTAACATAGTCTATACATTCTTCAGTCCCTCTCCCTCCAAACTATCATTGGCGTTAGTTATAATTTTTGATTTCTTAAGCCCCTCCAAACTATCATAAACATAACCTTTATTCTTTCAATCAAGGTACAAAACTATTATAAACATAATCCATAATTTTTTAACTGAGTTATAAAATTATCATAAAAATAAACTAGAATTTCTTTTAACCAAAAATAACCTATAATTTTTTAAACTAAAATTATAAAACTATCATAAACATAACCTATAATTTTTTAAACTGAGGTAAAAAAAACATAATCTATATTTTTTTAATCAAGGTACAAGATATAAGCTATAATTATTTTAACCTAGTTAATAAACTATCATAAACATAACCTATAAATTTTTGATTTCTTCGTTCCCTACCCTCCAAAATATCATAAACTTAACCTATTATTTTTTCAGCTCCATTCCCTCCATACTATCATGAACATAACCCTTTAATTGTTTAACCAAAAAAAACTCTAATAAAACTTCAGCATAACAAATAATTTTTTAATCAAAGTATAACCTACAATTTTTCAATAAAAAATTGACTAATTCAAATTTAGAGTATAAACCTATAAATCTGACCCTATTATATTAAAGTAATACTTATTTATTTCGAAGAAGAAATTGTTGTGGGTGTAATTTGAAAATTTTAAAAATTTAATCTTGAGATAATTCGACCCAAAAATAAACATAACCAACATTGTGTTGATGATGTGCTTCAATATAATTTTTGTCTTTTCAATTTTTCGAACAATTTTTTTTTAACTCCGTTGAAACTATAAATGGACCTTTATTAATTACGTAAGGATGATTCGAGACTCCTGAATTAAAACTTTGGTGGTATTCTCGAACGATTATCTCAAAAATTTAAATGATCATAACCTATAATTTCTTTAACCAAATTACTTTTTAAATTTTAATTAGGGTCCGTCCATATATATATATATATATATATATATATATATATATATATATATATATATATATATATATATATATATATATATATAAGATAACTTTTCTTTGCTGAAACTTTACTTTAAATTAATAATTTTTTGTTTATTGGCAGTAATTATTAATTGAACAATATTTATACACTGAAAACGAAATTTATATAATTCAAATAATCGGTTAACTGTTATCAAATAAATAATTTACATGAGTCAAATAAATATTTACTTGAATCAAATAAATATTGACTTGAATCAAATAAATATTTACTTGAATTAAATAAATTTTATTTAAATTAAATTATATTTGAATCAATAGTTTCTATATTTGAAACAAATACTAATTGACTCAAATAATAATTATTCAAGGTAAATAAATAATTATTTAATAATAGTAAAGTAACCGATTATTTAAATAAAATAAATTTTTCTTTTCATTGTAGAAAGGTAAAAATTGTCACGATTCAAATTGGCAAAATTCCCTCACACACTTTCGACATTATATATATATATATATATATATATTTATATTTATTTTTATTGCAGAATACATAGGACAAAATTAATATATAATTATGTGTCTAGAAATTATATACTTAATGCGAAGCTGATAAGGTGCACACAAGGGTAAACGACTATTGAAAAACCTTGTATTTTAAACAAAATATATATATATATATAACAATTGCACTCTTATCAATATGAACGAATCGCTTTATATGCTCGTTGCCCTTAAAAAATATATGTATATATATATTGTAACTAATCGAAATGTCCGTGAAAATTTTATTTGCAAACTATTTACACTCACAGTAAGTAAAATTACACTGTCATTTGAAAACAATTAACAAAAATGGAGAGAAATTTTGTTAGAAAATTTTTTGTTGGCAACTGTGAGTCAATTTATAATTGTTTTATAAAAAGGGGAGGGGGTGAAAAAAAATTTTTTTTTTTTTATGAGCGCATTGCGGTTTTTACTGCAATGCACACAAATTCCTCGTAAAGAGAGTTGTAGGAGTCGAGGAGAAATTAAATGAGGTCTTGTCCTTTATTTCAACGTATGTCACGGACAACTTGTATTCAGATCAATGTCAAGATTTATGTTTCTAATATAAATACTATATAGGTATATTATATTTTTCAATCAAAAAGAAAGAAAAAGAAGAAAATTTTTTATTTACACACCTTATATATATATATATATATATATATATTGAAAATTAAATTGTATTTTACTTTCGATATCATCGATAATCATAATTTTTTATATAGAAATTATTATCTTTTCCATTTCAAATTATCCCACTTGAAAAGATTTCCCGGAAAGTGATCCCTGGAGGTTCTATCAGAATTCCGCCGGAACTTCCAACCTAATTCCGTCGGAATTCCAAAGAATTTCTGATGGGATTCCGACGGAATTCCAACGGGATTGATCTCTAAAAATTTTTTAAAAAAATTAATCGCAACTCCGTCGGAATTTCGACGGGATTGATCTCTAAAAATTTTTTTAAAAAATTAATCAGAATTCCGTCGAAATCCCATCGGACATTTTTTGGAACTCTGATGGAATTCCAAAGGAATTACGTTGGAAGTTCCGGCGGAATTCCATCGGAGTTTCAAAGAATTTCCGATGGGATTCCGACGGAGGATTGATCTCTAAAAATTTTTTTAAAAAAATTAATCGGATTTCCGTCGGAATCCCATCGGAAATTCTTTGGAACTCCGATGGAATTCCGACGGAATTACGTTGGAAGTTCCGGCGGAATTCTGATAGAACCTACAGGGGGCACTTTTCGGGAAATCTTTCCAAGTGGGATATTTTTTAGCAAAAAATTAAAATTCGGCCAAGTAAAAAATTTGATAGCTTAAAATTTTGTTGAATAAAAATTAATATTAAAATAAAATTTTGTTAAAATTTTAATTCGAAAATTGAAAATTCATGCGAATCTTTTTTTTGTTAAATAACAAAAAAATTAGTTATTCAAAATTAGTATTATTATTATTATTATTATTATTATTATTATTAATTAAAAAATATTTTAAATCATTTAATTTTTTTTTAATCTAACAAATAAAAATAATTGAATTTAGAAAAAAATTTAAATTACAAAATAATATTAATTTTAAAAATTATTGAATTTTGGAAAAATGTTGAATTATTCAAAATAATTGAATTTACTTTAGAAGATAATTGAATTAACAAAATAATTTTTAAAAATTTGAATTTTTTTACAAAAATTATTGAATTTAGAAAAAAAATTGCATTTTAAAAATAATTGAATTTAGAAAAAAATTGAATTTACAAAATAATTGAATTTTGGAACAAATATTAAATTTAGAAAAAAATTGAATTTTTCAAAATAATTTAATTTATTTTAGAAGATAATTGAATGTTTACAAAAATTTTAATAAATTTAGAAACAAAAAATTGAAATTTGAAAAAAAATTTGAATTTACAAAAATAATTAAATTTTAAAAAATTGATGAATTTAGAAAAAAATTGAATTTCAAAAATTAATTTAATTTACCTACAAATTTGAATTTACAAAATTTATTCAATTTTGACAAAAAAAAAGAAAAATTAAATTTTAAAAATAATTGAATTTAGAAAAAAAATGGAATTTACAAAATAATATTAATTTTTAAAATTATTGAATTAAAAAAAAATTTAATTTTCCAAATTGATTTTAATTTTGAAAAAAATTGAATTTACAGAACAATTGAATTTAGAAAAAATTGAATTATAAAAATAATTGAAGTTTGGAAAAAAAATTGAATTTTAAAAATAATTGAATATTGGAAAAAAATTATTGAATTTAGAAAAAAATTGCATTTTAAAAATAATTGAATTTTAGAAAAAAATTGAATTTACAAAATAATTGAATTTTGGAACAAATATTAAATTTAGAAAAAAATTGAATTTTTCAAAATAATTTAATTTATTTTAGAAGATAATTGAATGTTTACAAAAATTTTAATAAATTTAGAAACAAAAAATTGAAATTTGAAAAAAAAATTTGAATTTACAAAAATAATTAAATTTTAAAAAATTGAATTGAATTTAGAAAAAAATTGAATTTCAAAAATTAATTTAATTTACCTACAAATTTGAATTTACAAAATTTATTCAATTTTGACAAAAAAAAAAAAGAAAAATTAAATTTTAAAAATAATTGAATTTAGAAAAAAATTGGAATTTACAAAATAATATTAATTTTTAAAATTATTGAATTAAAAAAAAATTTAATTTTCCAAATTGATTTTAATTTTGAAAAAAATTGAATTTACAGAACAATTTAATTTAGAAAAAATTGAATTATAAAAATAATTGAAGTTTGGAAAAAAAATTGAATTTTAAAAATAATTGAATATTGGAAAAAAATATTGAATTTTGGAAAAATTGAATTTTAAAAATTATTTGAATTTTAGAAAAAAAATTTGTATTTTAAAAATAATTGAATTTAGAAAAAAAAATTGAATTTTAAAAATAATTGAATTTAGAAAAAAAATTAAATTTACCAAATAAATTAATTTTAAAAATTATTGATTAAAAAAAAATTGAATTTTTCAAATTGATTTTAATTTATAAAATAATTAAATTTACAGTACAATTGAATTTAGAAAAAATAGAATTATAAAAAAAATTGAATATTGGAAAAAAATATTGAATTTTGGAAAAATTGAATTTGAAATATAATTGAATATTGGAAGAAATACTAAATTTAAAAAAAAAATTAATTCAATAATAATAATAATAATAATAATAATAATAAGTGCGTAAAGGCATTTTTTTATCTCCTAAAATTGTTTCGTAAAATAATAATAATAATAATAATAATTTTGTTTTATATTATCTTTATAACCTCTAAATTAATTTTTTTGTTCGATTTTTGTAACCCGCTTATACCGATTTTAATTTCCACTATAACCTCCAAAATGTCCCGTTTTAATATTATTATAAAAATAACAAAATGCATTTATTAAAATATTTTTTCTATTAAGACTGCAAATTTTTCCACAATATATTTCTTATAACGAGAGACGAATTTTAATAAAGATCATCGAAACTCTAAATTTTCAATTATAATATTATAATGTATTATCAATTATCAATTATCAATTATAGACGCAATAATATCAAAAAAAAAACCACGAGAATTAAATTTTTTCCTGATATGCGCATAAGAAATTTTTTTTTTTTTGTTATTTTTTCTTAATCTTTTTATAACAGGTTGGTTATAAAAATGTCGATAAGAATATATTTTATTTTTATATTTAATTCTACTATAAAATTTAAATTTGATCAAAATTCTCTTTACAATAATTATTAAATACAAATATTATTTTCTTACCTTTTCTTTATTTTCTTCTTTATTGTCAGCTTCCATTTGTTAACGTCCGCATTTTGCTTCAAATATTTTACAAACTCCTTCTTGTTCTCTTCATAATGCTTTTCAAATGATCTTTTTTTTAACGAAACACTGCTTCTAATTGTAACGGTCACGATTGAATTCGTTTTTTCTAATAAGAAACCATGTTTACATTACCGAGTTCGTACATTGCATTTGGGTCGACGCACAATTTACCAATTTCCAGCAGGGATGGATAGTTAACACACATTTGTACAGCGGGTTGCATACTTTTATCAATTAAAAAGATCTGATTGGTTAGAAACATAATAGCGCGCGCTTATTTGAATTAATGTAAATTCAAATTTTTTAATAACAAAATTTAAATATTATTAATAAAACGTAAAAAATATATATATTGTTACATTAATAAAATAAAATAATAATTTTTTTTAAATAAAAATTTTCTATAAAAAGAAATTCTGTTAATTTGCTAATTTGAAAAATGATAAATTTTGTTTTAAAAAAAGAAAATAATTTTATTTCTAATAAAATACTTTAAAATAAAAATTTGAATTAATTAATTTTAATGGGAAAATTTATGCGCTAAAATAAATATAATAAATTCTAATAAAAAAAAAAAAAATTTCTACATAAAGAAATTAAATTCGAATAAAATTAACAATTACAATAATATAATTTACTATTTTTTTTTATATTAATATTTATTTATTATATTTTTATATTTAACATTTATTTATTATATTTTTATATTAATATTTATTTATATTTATTAAAAAAAATTTCCAAAAGAAAAAATATTCCAAATGCTGAAAAAAATAAATTTTTATTTTCTGTAAAAAAAAAAAAAAAAAAAAATCATTGGTTTTTATAATTAAAAAAAATATATCGAAAGAATTCTTTTGCACTTTATTAGTAATAGAATAACAATAGATACATTAATATAATTATGATAATAATAATAATAATAATAATAATAGTAGCGCGATGTACGTATTAAACTTTTATTTTTTGTTTAAATAATTAGCATTGAAAAAGGCTCTACAATTCTCGTTGGACATAATATTAATAATATAATAATAATAATAAAGATAATAAAAATAATATTAATTCTATAATTACTCTAATTAATAATAATAATAATTATTATAATAATAATTAATTTTACGACACAAGGTAACAAAAAAAAAAAAAAAAAAGAGAAAATTGAAAAATGTCGTGTTTTATATTTTGTTGTCCTTTTTTTTTCTCTCTGCTGCTGCTGAATAATACGTATATAAAAAAAAGAAGAAAAAAAAAATTAAAATAAAAAATAAAATAAGAAAAATATATATACACGTTAACTTGATTTTTTTTCTCTCTCTCTTTCTTCTTCTCCTTCTTTTTTTTTCTTTTTCTTCATCATCTTTTCATTATTAATTAATTTTTTTTTTTTATATATATATATATTATTTAAAAAAACGTGAACAGCGCGCAAATTTTTTGAGGATAGCAATCCTTAGCGACGCAGCATTCGACACTAGTTAATTTTTACTGCTACTCCTTGGACTTGCAGGTTGACTGTTTGCTTGCTGTGCACGTTGAATGTAAATAGTCAACAATTTTAATTTACTTCCATAAAGTGAACTTAAATGTGGTTTTAATTTTTCTTCGCCAACTGCCTCGTGTATTGCGACCATGCAAAATACTGCACTCTTACGTACTTTACTCTCGCGATGATCGTAAGCCTATTTTTGGAGAAAATATATATATATATTTTTTTTTAAATAATTTAAAATCAATAAATAAAGAAAAAATAATTTATTTCCTTTTTTTTTATTTAGAAAATTTGAAAAAAAATACCTAATTTCAGAGTGTCTAACAATTGTTAGGAAAAAAAAATTCCCTGACTTTTTTCTGACCTAAATTACACAAAAAAATTTTTATTTTGATCAAATAAAATTTATTTTGATCAAATAAAATTTATTTTAATCAAAAAAAATTTACTTTGATACAATTAAATCATTTACCAGTCTATTATCCACTAATTTCATATATTTATTTGAACCAAATAATTAATGTTTTGTAAAAAATAAAATATTTCAGTGAAATAAATAAATTAATTTTGAGGACTTATAAATATTCTCAAAATTTAATTTAAAAAGAATTTTTATGGCGTCAAATCTTAAATTATCAAATTTTTATTTAATCAAATTATATAATGCAGATTTTCTAGTACATCGAATTTCAAATTAATACAATTTCAATTTAACTGAATTTATGTCAAGAAAAAATTTTTTTTTTTTTTAACAGAATTGTTATTAAGTAAATTTTGATTTATCATAATATTTACTTAACAGAATTGTCATTGAATAAATCCACAATTATAACAGAATTTCTATTTAATAAAATTCTTAATTAACAAAGTTTTTTATTAACAAAAATTTTAATTCGAACTAATTCTTATTTAACAGAATTTTCTCATTTAAGAAAAATTCTACTTAGTTCTTTTTTTTTTTTTGTCAATTTTTTCAAGACATAAATTTCGTTAAATTGAAATTATATTAATTTAAAATTTTTTTTTGAAAAAAAAAGTATTAGAAAAAATGTTTTATAAGAGTTTTGCTAAATAGAAATTTTTTTAAATCGAATTTTAATTAATAGTAAATTGAAAATTTTCCATAATATAAAATCAAACTTTATATACAAATTTGCTAAATAGAAATTCGATAATTTAATATTCGACGCCGTAAAAATTTTTATAAATTAAATGTGGGTATTAGCATTAAATAAAAAAAAAAAATTTAATTCAAAATCAACTAAAAATCAATTATTTTCAAAAAATATTCATTTCAAATTTAACTAACAATTCAATTATTTTCAAAAATTTCAATTAAAATTCGATTATTTTTAAAATTTTCAATCCAAAAATCAACTGAAATTCAATTATTTTTCAAAATTTCAATTCAAATTATAAATTATATTTAAAATTTTCAATTTAACATCAACTAAAATTTACTTATTTTTCAAATTTTAATTGAAATTTAATTATTTAACAAATTTTCAATTCAAAATCAAATAAAATTCAATTATTTTTCAAAAATTTCAATTCACAATCAATTAAAATTCAATTAATTTAAAAAAATTTCAATTCAAAATCAAATCAAATTCAATTATTTTCCAAAATTTCAATTTTAAAAGCTTCTAAAATTTAATTATTTCTAAAATTTAATTAAAAATCAACTACAATTCAATTATTTTACAAAATTTCAATTTAAAATCAAATAAAATTCAATAATTTTCCAAAAATTTCAATCCAAAATCAACTTAAATTCAATTATTTTCCAAAATTTTAATTAAAAATCAACTACAATTCAATTATTTTACAAAATTTCAATTCAAATTGAACAAAAATTCAATTATTTTCCAAAATGACAATTGAAATTCAATTATTTTTAAAATTTTCAATTCAAAATCAAATAAAATTCAATTATTTTCCAAAATTTTCAATCCAAAATCAACTAAAATTCAATTAATTTCAACATTTTAATTTACAGCTTCTAAAATTTAATTAAAAATCAATTACAGTTCAATTATTTTACAAAATTTCAATTCAAAATCAAATAAAATTCAATAATTTTCCAAAAATTTCAATCCAAAATCAACTTAAATTCAATTAATTTCAAAATTTTAATTAAAAATCAACTACAATTCAATTCTTTTACAAAATTTCAGTTCAATTTCAAATTGAACAAAAATTCAATTATTTTTCAAAATGTCAATTGAAATTCAATTATTTTTAAAATTTTCAATTCAAAATCAAATAAAATTCTATTATTTTTCAAAATTCTCAATTCAAAATCAAATAAAATTAAATTATTTAACAAATTTTTAATTCTAAATCAAATAAAATTTAATTATTTTTAAAAAATTTAAATCCAAAATCAAATAAAATTCAATTATTTTCAAAAAATTCATTTCAAATTGAAGTAAAATTCAATTATTTTCCATAATGTCAATTGAAATTCAATTATGTTTATGAAAAAAAGAATTGTTATTTAATTTTGAGGACAGCACAGCGTAACTAATTACATTTTCTTTTTTATTACATTTTCAAAAATTTAAATTCACAATAAACAACAATTTAATTATTTTCCAAATTTTAATTGAAATTCAATTATTTAACAAATTTTCAATTCAAAATCAAATAAAATTCAATTATTTTCCAAAAATTTCAATCCAAAATCAATTAAAATTCAATTAATTTCAAAATTTTCAATTCAAAAATCAAATAAAATTCAATTGTTTTCCAAAATTTTCAATTCAAAATCAAATAAAATTCAATTATTTTTCAAAATTTCAATTTCAAAACTTCTAAAATTCAATTATTTCTAAAATTTCCCATCTCAAAGTGTTTGAAATTTAATAATTCCAATTATAACTCTCATGAATTTTAATTTTTTTTAAAAATTTATTCTTCGGAAAATTCAACTATCTAAAACAATTTTTCGCTTTAAAAGTTTTTAAATTAATGTATTTTTGTCTGCAATTTTAAATCAATTTTTTAAGTGTAATTATTAAAAATCATAAATTTAAAAAATCACTGAAAGTTCAATTAATATCAAAAATCAAAATTTTAAATCTTTGAAAATTCAATTAGTTTTAAAAAAATATTATTCAAAAATTATTTGATAATTTATTTTTAGTTCTGTAAAATTTAATTATTGTCTGAAAAAAATTAACAAAATCTTTTTAAATTCAATTATTTCTTCTAAAATTCAACTTGTAACTCTTCCAAAATTAGTATTATTTAAAATAAAAATTTTAATTGAAAAATCTGTAAATCTTGATTTAAGTATTGTTTAAAATATTAATTTCAAGAGGTTTTTTTTTAATAACAAACCTAGGATTGCACGACTTTTTTTTTTGATTTTTTAAAATTTTAATTATTTAAAAAAAAATATATTAACTTGAATTCTTTGCAAAATCAATTATTTTCAATAATTCAAAAACAAATTCTTCGAAAATTACATAATTTTAAAACAGTTTTCAATTGAAAATTTCCCTAAAATTCAATTGTCTAAAGTTTAAAAAAAAAAAAAAAAAAAATTCACTAATTCAAAATGAAAGTTTCAATTATTAATTTCTTGAAATTCAATTATTATTTCTAAAAATTTTAACTCGAATTCTTCTAAAATACAATCACTTACAAAAATTTTTATCTAAAATTGAAATTGTTGAATAATTTAATTTTAATAATTTTACTCCAATTTTTCGAAAATTCAATTATTTAAAACATTTTCCAATTCAAAATTCTCCAAATTTTAATCATTGTTTAAAGCTTATAAAATATCGACAGAAATTTCAATTTAGAAAAATTTTAATTAAAAACCGGATATTCAATTAGTTCGAAAATTTTTAACTATTACTCTTTCAAAATTCAATTATTTTCTAAAATTTTTAACTTCAATTTCTTTTTTCAATAAATTATTTCTAATAACTTTAATCAAGTTTTTTTTTAAAAAAAATTCAATTATATAAAACTTTTTTTTCTTTTTTGCTTCTTATTATTCCTTTAAAATTAAATTTTTATATTTATATAATTTTTAAAAAATTTCATTAATTCAAATTTATTAAAATTTTTGTTTATAATTCTTCGTTAAATTAATTTTTTTTATTTACTTTAATACAGTTTTTTTTTTTTCAACAATTCAGAGAAATAAAAAAGTTTTTTAATTAAAAATATTGTAAAATTCAATTATTCTTTAAAGATAAATTGCTATTAGATAATTGAATTTTCAAAGAATATTATAATAATCATTGAAAATAATTGAAATTTTTGGAAATAATTAAATTTCAAGTGATTTTGAATTAAAAATATTTTTTGGTAATTTTATTTGATAATTTTTTTGTTTTTTTGAAAATTATAAACAATTATATGTCCCGTTATGTTCCAAATAAATAAAAATAAATAAATTATTAAATTTTATAAAAATTTTAATTGAAAAATAGTTTAAGATAATTAAATTTGTAAAGAATTTCATTAAAACTATTAAAAATAATTAATTTAGTAAATAATTTTAGTTATATTAGTAATAATAATAATAATAATAATAAAAAAATACCTGAATTAAACTCGGCATGACTTGATCGAGAAATGGTTCAATCACTTGTCGTCCATGATATTCGACAACTTTTTGTAGCATTTTAATAGCGCCCATATTTCTTGGATATTCCTCAGTGGTGATAATTGACGATGTTAAATTAATTATCCTGTCCGCTGGCAAAATTGTTGCTATCGTTGCTGCACATTTTTCCGCTATTCGAAGAATCTATAAGATTTTCAAAAGAAAAAAAAAAAAAAAAAAAAAAAAAAAAGAAATTTCTAATTAAAAATTTGAATAAATAACAAATAATTGAAAACAAAAAAATTAATTAATTAAACACCAAACAAACATATTTCTACTAAATTAACAAAAAATACAACAATTTTTCCTCTATACAAAACATTTAAAAATTTTCCTCAATTTTTTTTCTAAAAATTATATTATTTACATTATAATAATATTTATTATTTACAAAAATACTTATTTACAAAATAATTTGAATAAAAAAAAAAAAAAAAAAAAAAAAAAAGAAAGTAATCAATTTTTTTATTCACAAATTTCTGTCATTTAAAAAATTTGAATTCGATTAAATTGAAAATTCCTTTAAATTAATATTCGTACAAATAAAATAATTTCTAATACAAAAATTTTTTAAAATGAAAATTCTAATTAATAATTTTAATGGAATAATCATGCGCCTCTTTTATTTTTCTCATTCCTCTAGTTTTAACAGTAAAATATATTTTTTTATTACTTTCTTTTTATTTAACCCAAAAAAAAAAACAAACTAATTTACATATAGTACAAAAAAAAGTGCAAATTCGTGCAAAGTGCTGAGAAACAACTTTTCTTTTTTTTTTTTTTTTGAAAATAATATTATTTGTTAAAAGAAAAATTAAAAAAAAAAAAGAGAAAAAAAATTTGAAACAACTAAGGGACAAATTACAAAAAAGGACAACAATTTTAATCATGCAAAATAAAGAGAGGGGGGAGAATGAAAATATATTTTTTTAAATTAGTAATTAATTAATTATTTTAGAAAAATAATGTTATATTTAACATTATTATTATTATTATTATTATTATTATTATTATTATTATTATTATTATCATTATCATTATTATCATTATTATTATTATTATTATTATTATCATTATTATTATTATTAAATATTATTCAAAAATATTATTATAACAAATTAATATTTTTCATAATTATTTATTTTTAAAAAAATTTCTCATTACGTTTCTAATTTTATATTAAATTTAATAAAAACTAAAAAAAAAAAAAATTCAATATAGTGTAAAAACATAAATTTGTAACTAAATTTAAAATTTATTATTAATTAATATTATAAATTAGTAATAAATATCAATTATTTAATTAGTAAAAATGAAATAATTAATTAATTACTGAAACACAAAAAAAAAAGGGAGAATTTAATTTGAAGAAAGATTCCATGAAAAAAAAATTTACAAATTTCCCGCTGTTGTTGTTTTTAAAAGACGAATTGATCGCTTTATTTTTTCTTTCTTTCTTTTTTGTTTTTGTTTTTTTTTTTTTTTTTGTTTTTTTTTTTCCCTTGGAGCCTTGTCAACGAAACCATGCATAAAACCAAATACCTCTATTCTATTTACTGTCAATTTATAAGCCTCTTCATTTTGTTCCTCGAATTTATGGGCATTTATCACTTTCAATACAAGAAGATCAGCATAACTCGTAAATATTTCAACAAGTTCCATACATTTCACCATTTCGGTGAGGGTTTTTAATATTTCCAATACAAATTTCACCTGTTCACTGTTTAAATTCTCCAAAAGGCATTTTAATAATTTCCTACGACAAAAAAAAAAGGCAAGAAAAATCATTTTTTTTCATTTCTATTTACATTTTTTTTTTTTTTTTTTTTTGTCATTTATTTAAAAAGTATTTGCTTTATTATAATTACTATTTTATTTACTCTCATTATTAATAATAATAATTATTATAATTTAATTATTAATAATTATTATAATTTAATTATTATTAATAATTATTATTATAATTTAATTATTAGTATTAATAAAAAATTACTACTTTTTATTTAATTTTTTAATTATTAAAACAAAAAAAAAGGATTGAAAACAAAAAAAAAAAAAAAAAAAAAAAGAAAAAAGGAAAAAGAGAATGAAACTAACTTGAAATTTTGTTTAACGTAGGAAATGTCACCGTCATGAAGATACAATTGAAATTCTTGAAGGGTTGTTATTTTCTCCTGCTCCTCCGTCTCTTGTGTTTGTAAAGACTTTATCACATTGTCAACAACATCCGGTCCACGTAACGAATCTGGCGATGAACCTGCGAGAAAATTGAATTTTCACTTTTTACTTCTATTTTTTTTTTCTTTTTTTTTTTTAATCATTAATTTTCAATTTTTTTTTTTTTTTAATTATTAATTTTCAATTTAAAAAAAAAAATAACGATAATTTATTTATTCTTTCTTTTTCTTATATTTATTTATTAATATCATAAATTGTTATTCTTTTTATTTTTTAAATTTTTATTTCCCAACAGAAAAAAAAAATTGATTTTATTGAAGAAAAAAAATAAATACCGTGTGTTTTAAAGCCATTGTTTTCCTGAGGAATCAAAAGATCAGCATCTGGTCCATCGTTCGTTCCATTAACGGTGGAATTTGTGACGGGTTTTCCTCTCTGTGTCGGCGACGAAACGGACGACGATCGGCCCTTAAAAAAAGGGTTCATTAATTGTAATAAAACAGACAAAAAAAAAAAACAATATAAAAACAAATATTACTAAAATAAAAAAATAATTTAAAAAAAAGTAATAAAAATGTAATAAAAAAAGAAATAATAAATTTTACTTAAAAATAAATTATTAAAATAAAAAAAAAAATTAATTAATATAAATACTAATAAAGACAGTAATAAAAAAAAAATTTTACTTATAAATAAATAAATTGCTAAAATAGAATAATTAATAAAGAAAATACTAGTAAAAATGTAGTAATAAAAATATATTTTTTAAAAATATATTTTTCTCATAAATAAAAAAATATAGAATATAAAAATAAATAAATTAAATATCAATGGTATAAACTCTTTTTTTAAAAAAAGGAATTTTCGTTTTTTTTTTTCTTCTTCTAAATAAATAAAATTAATTACCGAATTCGTTAATGTTAGTGACTCAATTCTTTCCTCAACATCGGCCATATTACTGATTCCACTATCTTTACTCGTCGTTGCTTTTTCCAATCGTTCAAAACCATAATTTTGAATTTCCGCCGTTGTCCTTCTTAACGATCTGTTAAAAAAAAAAAAAAAAAAAAATTTAATTATTTTATTTATTATTCTTTGACAAATAGAAAAAAAAAATTGCAATTATAAAATGAATTTCAAAAAAAAAAAAAAAAAATTGAAAGTAATTTATTAATAAAAATTAATTATTCCATTAAATTAATTGAAAAATTTACTTATAAACTTCTTCTGGATTTAAATGATCGTCACCAGAATCAACTTCACTTTTTACATCAATTTTTATTCTTCTCGCTGGCGAATGTGGAACACGAGGTGGTGGCGTACTTGGCGATGATGGATTACTCGTTCCCGATGATCTTCTCAAATGATTTTGAACCAATGGCAACGCAGCTTCCTGCAAGCAATTTTTTTTTTTTTTTTTTTTACAATTTTCTAAATAAATTCAATATAAAAATTAATTTACAAATTTTATTAAGATATATTTATTTAAAAATGAAAAAGAAAAAAAAATAAGAAAAGAAAAGCAAAAATAAATAAATTCTTTAAAATAGAGAAAAAAAACATTTTCAAAATTAAAATAAAAAAAAACAAAAGGAAAAAATTTAAATTAATTTTTGTAAATTAAAAAAATAAGGAAAGAAAAGCAAAAATTAAATTAAATTCTTTAAAATTGGAGGAAAAAAAACAGAATAAATTCTAAATAACGAATAAAAAAAAAAGGGAGAAAAAATTAGAAAAAAAAATTCCTTAAAATGAAACTCACTTGGTAATATTTTGGTAATTCCGAGAGGATCAAAGTAACTTGTGCGGGATTCAAATTGTACAATGCAATTACAGTACTTTGAGCGTGTCTTCTCACGTCTTGACTTTTAACATCATTCGTCCAATCAATGAGACGCGCAAGAGCCGTACCCGCGGAACTCGTCAACGCCGATGGCTCCGAAATTTCAGTTATTTGCATAAGAAATGTCAATGTTGCAACTTTAACACGTGAATTTGGCGTTTGCGTTGGATCCGTTAAAAATCGCATTACAGCCGGCAATAATTGTTCGCCGCTAAACGATTCTCTATTTAAAAAAAAAAAAAAAATTAGTAATTAATTAATATTAGTAATAATAAATAATAAATAATTTGTAATAAAAAAAAAAAATATTTCTTTTTTTGATTTACCTGACAATATCGAGGGTTTTGTGAATTTTTGCATGCACCGAGCCAAGTAAATCGGTGCCCAATTTATTGAGAAGACGAGCGCAAAGAACATAAAGCCAATCGCCCAAATCTTCTTTATGCGTGACAATTAATTCATTTAGTGTATCTAAAAATAAACTAAATACTTTTGTATGTGAATCCATAAACATTTTTGAAAAAATATCAGTTATTTTTCTTAATTCAGAGCCAGATAATGTTTGGCCATTTGATAGAAAATGTTGTAGACCAACGAGGCCCTCTTTTCGATCGCTCCAATGTTTACGGCTGCAGTTATCAATTATTTCCTTAATATCCTGTTTGAAAAAAAAATATAAAAGGAAAATTATAATTAGTTCACAAAATGACTAAATAAGAAATTTAAATTAAATTTAAAAAAAAATAAAATAAAATAAAAACGAGAATATTTCAACGATATTATGATGTAATTTTTATCAATATTAACATCTAATTAATTATTTTAATTCGCCATTAATTATTAATTAATTACAATTAACTGTAATTGTTTATTAATAATACTAATACTAATACTACTACTACTACTACTACTACTACTACTACTACTAATAATAATAATAATCATAATAATAATAATAATAAAAAATACTCAAGACCAAATGTGCAATTTTAATAAGAAGCATATAAATAATTCAAAAAGCGTTGCAAAAAATAAAAAAATAAAATACAAATAATGATAATCGAAGAAATAGAAAAGAAGGTGAAAATATACAAAATGATAAAAAAAAAAAAAAAAAGAAACATTAATAAGAAAAAATAGAACAAAAAAGATAATGTAAAATTTTCTCAATATAAAATATAAAACAATAATTAAATAAAACGAAGAAGTACAAAAAGAAGAAAAAAAAAATACAAAAAGTGAAACAAATTCAAAAAGTAAAAATACAAAAAAAAAAATACAAAAATGTAAAATAATTTTTTTTTAAATGAAGAAAGAATAAATAAAAATTACGTAGTACAACAAAAAGAAATACAAAAAAGAAATTAATACAAAAAAAAAAAAAAAAAAAAAAAATACAAAAATGTAAAATGATTTTTTTTTAAATGAAGAAAGAATAAATAAAAATTACATAGTACAACAAAAAGAAATTAATTTAAAAAAAAAAAAAACAAAAATATATAGAAAAAATACAAAAAAAGAGAATATAAATTTTTAGAAATAAAATAAATAAGGAAGAAATAAAAAAAAAATTAAATAAAGAAAAAGAAAAAAAATTAAATAAAGAAAAAGAAAAAAAAATTAAATATATAAAGAAAAAGAAAAAAAAATTAAGAAAACGAAAGAAAGATGAAAAAAGTGCAAAACATTGATGGAAATGAAAAAAAAAATACATGCGCAAAAATTAAGGGCAAAAAAAAAATGATAAATTATTATTATTATTTTTTTTTGTTTTTAAAAGAAGAAAGTCAAAAATTTGAATTTGACCAACCTTTGGGATTGATTGATCCCATAAATCTCGATAGAGTCTCTGTTGTGAGCCGCTCCATGAGAAAGACTATAAACGGATTGACAAGATCACAAACACATGGATCATTCAAGTTAGGGGGAAAAAAAAACACCCCCCCCCCCAAAAAAAAAAAAAAAAACAGAAGACCAAAACAAAAATTTCAAATATGCATTAGTGACAATTTTTTTGTTTTTTTAATTTGTAAATAATATAATTTTTTTAAAAAAATTGTGTGTCAAAGTGAAAAAATTTAATTTTTGTATTTGTTTTTTCTTTCTTTTAATTACGAAACGAGTCAATTATTATTATTATTATTATTATTATTATTATTATTATTATTATTATTATTATTATTATTATTATTATTATTAATAGGACAATAGAAAGAAAATGGATGAAAATAAAAAATAAGAGTAACAAATAACAAAAAAATAAAAGAAACAAATAACAAAATAAATAGAAGAAACGAAAAAAAAGAAATAAATAAAAGAAACAAAAAAAACAAAAATGTAAAAGAAACAAAAAAACAAAAATGTAAAAGAAACAAATAACAATAAAAATTAAAAGAAACAAATAAAAGTAAAAAATAAAAAAACTAAAAAAGAAAGAAGCAAAAAAAAAAAAATTAAAAAGAAACAATTAACAAAAAAGTAAAAGAAACAATTAAAAGAAAAAACTAAAATAAAGAAAATAAAAGAAACGAAAAAATGATAGTACTAAAAATTTGAAAAAAAAAGTATTACAGAATTTCACTTTTTTTTTGTGGGGAGGGGGGGAATTTTTTCTAAAAAGAAACTTATTTTTTGTTTAATAAAGAAAAAAAAAACAAAATTTACGTTAATTAAAACAAAAAGCAAAAAAAAAAAAAGAAACGAAAAATTTGACGATTCACACAAACTAACAAAAAATAATTTTTCTACGGCCAATCGAATTTTTTTTTTTTTAAATTATAAATTGATAATATAAGCAAAAAATAAAAAAAAAAACAAAAAACAAAAGGAAAACACTGGACAAACAAATCTATTACAATATCAACAAATTTCACAGAAAAAAAATAAAAAATAAATAATTGCCTTGATAAATTTTCTCTATAGAAAATTAGAAATAAAAATTTTGTTTTCTTTGAAAAAAAGAAAAAAAAAAAATGATTTTTTCCCTTAAAATTTAATTTTTATTTTCACTTTCAATTATTGAAAAACAATGAAAATTATTTTTTGAAAAACGGCAATTTTTCTTCACGTCATTATAAAAATGAAATATTTTTTTCAATCATTTGTAATTTTTTTTTCTTTTTTTTTTTTTTTAATGGGAAAACTTCCATTTTTGTTTTCTATATAAATAAATTATATAATTTAATAAAATAAATATATAACTAAAATGTTTTATATTTTAAATTTATAACTAATAAAATTATATTTTTTCTTCACTTGTAATTATAATTATAATAAACAAAAAAAAAAAAGGAAATTTATAATTTTCTTATTTATAAATATAATAAAATTATATATATTTTTTTTATATGTAAATTATAATTTGAATAATAAACAAAAAATAATATAAATTTATTATTTATAAATAATAAAATTATAATTGTATATAAAAAAAAATATAGATAACTAAAATTTTTATATTTTAAATTATAAATAATAAAATTATATTTTTTTCACTTGTAATTATAATTATAATAAACAAAAAATAAAAGAAATTTCTAATTTTATTATATTTATAAATAATAAAATTATAATTGTATATAAAGAAAATATAATTATTTATTTACAATTTTGTAATATATTGTAAAAATAAAAAATTTTTGTTATACATATTAAATATTTTATGAATAAATAAATTATTATATTATATAATTTAATAGAAAATAAATATGAAATAATTTTTCTTGAAATAAATAAATAAAAAAAATAAAAAAAAAAAACTTACGTCACTCGGTCGTCGTGAACTGTCCAAACTGTATTCAGAGCAAATGCTACTTGTCTCGCTGTCATCGCTGTGATCGCCTTTACCTTTTGGTGTTCTATTATAATTATCTATACTATTAAATGTTAATGCATCGGCCAATGCCGATTCGGCCTCTCTCGATTGTTGAAGCATTTTTTGCGCCATAACTGGCCTCGATGGCGGCCTATCCGTTGGCGATGTGTGTAAATTTCTTCCTCTATTAGATATAGAAAAGAAATTAGAAAACAAAAATTACTTTAATTTTCCAGTAGCAAAAAAAAAAAAAAAAATAGAAAATATTGTAGTAAAAGTACTGAAAGTATTTTTCTTTTTTTTTATTAATTTTTATAAAGAAAAAAAAAATATATTAGAAAATTTTCTACAAAAAATGAAAAAAAGTATTTTTTAATTTTTTACAAAAAAAAAAAATATCAAATATTGAAAATTTCTTTTTAATAAAATTACTGAAAGTATTTTTTTTTTTTCAATTTGAAATTTTTCTTGCAAAAAGTAATAAAGGTAGAAAAAGTATTTTTTTAATTTTTTACAAAAAAATATTAAAAACTTTTTTTTTTTTTTTTACTAAAATTACTGAAAGTATTTTTTTTTTTTCAATTTGAAATTTTTCTTGCAAAAAGTAATAAAAGTAGAAAAAGTATTTTTTAAATTTTTTACAAAAAAATATTAAAAACTATTTTTTTACTAAAATTACTGAAAGTATTTTTTTTTTTTTTTTTTAATTTGAAATTTTTCTAGCAAAAAGTATTTTTTAATTTATTACAAAAAAAAAAATACTAAATACTGATTTTTTTTAGTAAAATTAATGAAAGTATTTTTATTTGATATAAAATAAATTTCCACATAAAACTAACCTCAATTTTGAGCCAAAATTCCTATCAATTCCAAAACGCTGTGGACTAGGTTCACGACTATTTCCAGTACTTCCAACTCCATGACTTGACAATTTTCTTGGACGAGGAACAAGGGATTCACCTTCACGATTATAAGTCGCGTAACTCAATCTCGACGATGGTGAACCTGATCTACTGCTCGCTGTGATAATTTAAATTGAAAAAAAATATTATTATCACTTACGTTTGAAATAATAAAAATAAAAAAAAAAATACTATTTTTCCATAAAAAATAATATTTCTTTCCACTTTCAAGAGTTAAGCAAATTTTTTTTTCTCTCCTTGACAGTTAAAAAAAAAAAAAAAAATTGAATGTCTTAAAGATGGCCTAAATTATCTGTTTTTTAAATAATATAATTTTATTAATAAACATAATTCAATGAATAAAATCTTTTTTTTACTTTTAACTTAAAAAAAAGGACGTTATTTATTTTTAGAAATAATTATAATAATAATAATAATAATAATAATAATAATAAAAATAATAATAATCATATAATAATAAAATTGTTATAAATAAAAATACCATCTTTTTGGAAAATAAATAATTTTTTTTTTTAGAAAAAAATAAATAATATACAATTGTAAAATTATATTTTAAACAAATTATTATTAATTTTTAATTATTTTTATTATTAATTGCTGCCGAGTGATAAATTTGAAAATAATATTATAATAATTATTATTATTAAACGAAATTTTAATTAATAATGAAACTCACTGAAAAATACAAAAAAAGGAGAAAAATTTCTATTTGAAAATTATTATTTAGAAAAATTAAAACTTACGTTGTGATTGTGAAACACCAGCAACTCTTGTTCTCGTTCTTGCAACTCTCTCGGGACTTGCGACAGCACTATAATCCGGTGATTTACTTTGACGTGCTAAAAAGAGACGAAAATTAATTATTTTTCTCTTTTCTTTTTTTTCCTGCCTGCAAAAAAATTTTTTTTCAAACTTTTTATTTCTTTTTTTAAATCAAAAATAGAGATAAAAAAAAAAAAAAAAAAATTCTTGACAATGAAAACCGAAATCTCGAAAATTTAAAATTTAGAAAATATACAATATAATGCAATATTATAAAATTATATTATATTAAAACAAATTTTAATTATTATTAATAATTTGATAAATAATAATTAAGATAAGTAAAAATGTTAAGTAAAAAAAAAATTCGTTTAAAAATAAATTAATAAAATATTTTTATTTAAAATAGAAAATTTTAATTATTTTTTTTTATCGGCAATTCATGTATTTTACAATAAAAAAAAAAAAATAAATAAATAAAATGGAACGGCTGAATGTGTTCTAAAAATCTAATTAGAATTTTCATTTTATGAAATTTCATTTGTCATAATTATTTTTGAGCCAAATTTCTATTTGTTCAAATTAGTATTTTCAATTATTTTCAAAATTTTCAATTCAAAATCAATTAAAATTCAATTATTTTCCAAAAATTTCAATCCAAAATCAATTAAAATTCAATTAATTTCAAAATTTTCAATTCAAAAATCAAATAAAATTTAATTGTTTTCCAAAATTTTCAATTTCAAAATCAAATAAAATTCAATTATTTTCCCAAAATTTCAATTTAAAATCAACTAAAATTCAATTATTTTAAAAATGTTTTTTTCGAATCAGTAATAAATGAAAAAAAAATTAAATTATTTTCATAGATATTATTTAAAATTTGTCATAAATTAAATTATTTTTAAAAATTTTTGAATCAGGAATTTGTCAAAAATTTCAATTTATATCAATTTCTATTTATATCTTTTTTTTTTATTTGTTTAAATTAGTATTTTGCAAAGAATTTTTTTATCAAAACGATTTTCTATATTATCCGAATTTTTCAATAACCAAAAATTCACTTCACAGAATTTTTAACTTGTTCGAATTTTTATTTGTCAGAATTTTTATTTGCTCAAATTTTCAACTTAAAATAATAGGGAATTTTAAAGTATTTTTATTGGCTAGAAATTCAATTATTTTGAATTTCATTGCATAGAATTTTGATTTTATTTTTTCAAATGAATTGTCATTTTGTTCGAATTATTATTTGATTGAATTTTTTGCATAAAAATCAATTTTTCTGTAGAATTTTTACTTAATCCAAAAAATTATTTAACAAAATTTCTAATTGATAGAATTTTCATTTGTCCGAAATTACAAAAATGTCCTTAATAGACAGAATGATTTCGGTGCAATTTTTAAAATCAATTTTGAAATTTTTGGGAAAAGTTTTGAAAATAATAATTAAATTATTTTTACTAATTTCTTTTAAAATGTTTTAAAAATTCAATTTTTCACTGAATTGAACAATTATTTTGAAAAATAATTGAATTTTTAATAGATTTAAATTGAAAATAATTTAAAATAATTGAATTTTTGTGAATTTTTTTGAAATTTTGGAAAATAATTGAATTTGTTAGATTTTTATTCAGACTTTTTTTTTAAAAAATTGTTTTTTTTTTACCAATTATAATTGAAATTTTTTTGAAATAATTGAATCTTTAAGCTTTTATTAATTTTTTTTTTGGAAAATAAAAATTTTTGTTAATAATAATTGATTTTATGTCAGCTTTGAAATAAATTTTGAAAATAATTTAATTTTTTTTTCGTTTATTTACAAATTTGCATTAAAATTTTTCATGAATTTAAATTAAAATTATGAAAAGTAATTGAATTTTTGCCTAATTAATTTTCATTGAGATTTAAAAAAAAAAAAAAAAAAAGTTTTCGACAAAATATTTGTAATTAAAATTTTGAAAAATAATTTAATCTTTAGGCTAAATTTTTTTCTTCGCTAAATTGAACTTAAATTTTGAAAAATAATTGAATTTTTGTTAGATGTAAATTGAAATCATGAAAGATAATTGAATTTTTGCCTATTTTTCATTGAAATTTGAAAAAAAATTATAAGTTTTTCACTTATAATAAAAATTTTGAATAATAATTGAATTTTTGAACTTTTATTGAATTTTTGGAAAATAATGAAATTTTTTTTTCTTTTTTTTTTTTTGGAAATAATTGAATTTATTTGTAGCTTTAATCGAAAATCTTAAAATATTTATTTAATTGTTGTTCGTTTTTTACTACTTTGCATTAAAATTTATAAAAATTGAATTTTTCGCCGAATTAAATTAAAAATTTTTAAATTAAAATTGAACCAAAAAATCATTTAACCAATCAAAAATTATCCATGAAATTGTGATTTAGTTGAAATTTAAAAATCGCGCAAAAATCAATTGTTCGGTTATTTATAATTTTGAACAAAATTCTATCAATTAGAAATTCTGTTAAATAATTTTTCGGTTAAAGTAAAAAAATTTTGCAGAAAAATCGGTTTTTATGCAAAAAAAAAAAAAAAAAAAAAAATTCAATCAAATAATATAATTCGAATAAAATGAAAATTCATTTGAAAAAATAAAATGAAAATTCTTAGCAATGAAAGTCGAGGCAATAAAAATTCTTTAAAATTCCCAATATTATGTTAAATTGAAAATTCGAGCAAATAAAAATTTTGACAAAATAAAAAAATTCCAACAAATTAAAAATTCTGTGAAGTGAATTTTCGGTTATTTGAAAAATTCTAATAATATGGAAAATTGTTTCGGATGAAAAAAATTTTTTTTTTTTGCAAAATAACTAATTTGAAGAAATAAAAATTCATCTCAAAAATAATTATGACAAATGAAATTTTAAATGAAAATTTTAACTAATAATTTTTAAAAACATATTTATGCGTTCTTAAAAAATGATAAAATTTAGGGGAAAAGAAAATAATAATTTTTTTTTTTGTAAACTTACGTAATGTGGCTTTTTGTCGATTAATACTCGCGTAAAGCATTCGAGCTTTTGCCCTTTGAGCAGCTTGATGATCAATGGCACTCGTTGATCGTCCAACTGGTGTGATTCGACCTATAGAAAAAATAAAAAAAAAAAAAAATAAAATAAAATAAAAACAAAAAAGATCAAATTAAAAAAATATTATTATGAATTTTCAATTGAAAAATAATTGAAAAGACAAAAAACAATGATAAAAAAATTGAAAAAATGTGCGATAGGGAAAAAGTGCATGATTGGCATTATTATTATTATTATTATTATTTTTAGTGTCTCGCAGGCAAACCGAAACTACAAAAGACTGCAGGGATTAGATAAGATTTAGTTCTTTTTTTTTCGTTTTTTTTTGTGATTAACTGTTGTGCTTCTCTCAAATATTTACAAACGGAATTTTTTTCAATTTAAAACAATTTTTTTTTTCAAACTACAAATAAATAAATAAAAAGAATATTTTTCGAACAAAAAAATGGAAAAACTGTTTTTTTTTTTTCAAAGAAACATTCAAACAAAATAATTTGGAATTTTTTTTAAACGCTTTTTTCAAACTAAAAACCATATTTTTTTTTTTTTTTTTGTAAAGAAACAAAAAATTAGAATAATAGTTTTTTTAAAAAATATTTTTTAAGCAAAAATTAGAAAAACGTTGTTTTTTAAAAAAATTAAAATTTGATAAAAAATTAATTATTTTGAAGGAAAAAAAAATACATAGATGGAGAACGCTTTTTTAAAACAAAAAAAAATATTTTAATGAAAAAAAAAAAAAACAAAAATTAAAATAATTTTAATAAATTAAAATTCGACAAAAAGAAAAAAATAAAATAATAAAAAAATAAAATTTGTATAAAGAAAAAAATAACGTAATATTAAAATCTTTTTCTCAGTGTTTGTGAAAAAATTAAAAAAAAAAAAAAATTTGCATTATTTTATACAATAATTAGGAAGCTTTTGAAATTGAAAAAAAAAAATATTAGTGTAATTAGAAAGCTACAATTCCACAGGATTTTCTTAATTAGGATTTAAATTAGTTAAGTTAATTAATAATTAATAATTAACAATTAACAATTAACAATTAACAATTAATAATTAATAATTAATAATTATTCATAATAATAATAATAATATTAATAATATTCATTAGTTAATTATTATTATTATTATTTATTAATTTAAAGCATTAATTAATTAATTTTAAACAAAAAATTAATTTTCATCGTTAAAATAAAATTTCCCTTCCGTTTTTATGTTTAGATATTTTTTTTTTTTTTTTTTATCTGGTTTAGTTTTTTGAGAGATGCATCTAAAAAAGGTAATAAAAAAAACAATTGTGATAAACTTTGATAGACAAAAATATAAATTTAAAAAATTACAGTAATTGTCAGTGGGTCTTTGCAGAATCGGAATTCCAGATTGACGATAAGAACGTGGTAAGGACGGAGTTCGTCTCAGTGGGCCATGAGGTTGGCCCTGAGTCTGATGTAAATTCTCAGTGCTACCTTCGCACGTGAAAATGCAAGGTAGATCGCAAAGCAGCATGTAAGAAACAAAAAAAAAAAGAAATAAAAAAAAAACAAAAAAAAAAAAAAAAGAGGACAGACCAAAAAAGTAGCCAAAATTAGTTTTTTTTTTTCTAATTTTTAATGCCAAAAAAAAACTATTTTTGTTAATTTCAAAAATTCCTTCTAACAAATTCCAAAAAAGAACTATTTTTTTAAATTTAAAAACTATGTTTTTTAATGCAAAAAACAACAATTTTTGTTAATTTCAAAAAAATGATTTTTTCAGTGCAAAAAAAAACCTATTTTTGTTAATTTAAAAAAAATTATCTTTGCAATGCAAAAAAAACCTATTTTTTGTTAATTTCAAAAAAAATTTATTTTTTGAACTACAAAATTCGCAAAAAAAAAAGATTATTAAAAACTTTTTTTTCTTGTTAAAAAATAGAAATAACAAAAAAAAAGAAATATAGTAAAAAAAAGAAGAAGAAATAAGAGTAAGAAAAAAAAATGCTAAAAACATAAAATCGAAAAAAGCAGAAATAAAAAAGAAAAGAAATACAGAATAGAAAATGAAATTTTTTTTTAAATATACAAAAAAAAATAAAAATACGCCACAAAAAAAAAATGAAATGAGAAAGAAAATTAAAAAAACACAAAAATTGTGTAAAAAAAAATTAATTTTAGGGGCCAAGAAGATAGAAAATTAAAAATACAGAAAAAAAAAACGATAAGCCTGCAAAAAAAAAAGTAATGGAAAAAAAATAGTCGTTTTTGAAGTTAAAAATAATTTTACCAATCATTTCATTTAGTAATAATATTATTTTACTATTATCATTAGTAAAAATTACCAGAATAATATTTAATATATTTTCCTTATAAAATATTTCGTTTTGTAAATTAATTATAAAGATTATTAATAATTAACTAAAAAAAAAAAAAACTTACAAATTTAAAAAATTCAAATTTAAAAAAAAAAAAAAAAATTTCGCGCTTATTTTGGTCACGAGCAATAAATAAATATAATTAATTTATCGCGACATGCGCAGAAGCGTTTAATGAAATATGAAATTTGCGCAATTATTATTCTACAATTTTTTTTTTTTTTCTTTGAACAATGAAAATAACTGCGCAGTGAAAGTTAATTTGAAAAATGAAGAAAAACACACAAACTAAATATTAATTTAATTAGAAAACTATAATTTAAAAACAAACTAATAACTAATTTTTATCAATTTCTAATGAGACTTCGAAAATGACTATTTTATGTTTATATATATATATATTCATCAGGATTGCCACAAGAATAAATTTTACAATTTCCCTGACATTACAAAAATTTTGTTTCGACAAAAAAAAAAAAATTTTATATTAAATTTAATAAATTCAATAGAAATCAAATTCAAATTGAAATCATATAATTTAAAGTTAGAAAAAGAATAAAATTAATTTAAAAAAAAAAAAAAAAATTTGTTGATAATTTTAAATAATAATCAATTTAAATTTGAACAAAAATTGTAATTATAATTTGAAATTTCAAATTAATTTGGAAAAATTTCAATTCGGATAATTTAAAATTATGGACAATAAATAAAGTTCGAAAATTCGAATAATTTGGAAAATTAAATTATTTAAAATTTGGACAAATTGAAATTCGTATAATTTAAAATTTACATCCAATTAAAAATTAGAATAAATTGAAATTCGAATAATTTGGAAAATTAAATTTTTTAAAATTCAGACAGATTTTAAAGTTCGGCTAATTAATAATTGAAATAAATAAAAAATTTTTTTGACAAATTGAAATTCGAATAATTTGGAAAATTAAATTATTTAAAATTTGGACAAATTGAAATTCGTATAATTTAAAATTTACATCCAATTAAAAATTAGAATAAATTGAAATTCGAATAATTTGGAAAATTAAATTTTTTAAAATTCAGACAGATTTTAAAGTTCGGCTAATTAATAATTGAAATAAATAAAAAATTTTTTTGACAAATTGAAATTCGAATAATTTGGAAAATTAAATTATTTAAAATTTGGACAAATTGAAATTCGTATAATTTAAAATTTACATCAAATTAAAAATTAGAATAAATTGAAATTCGAATAATTTGGAAAATTAAATTATTTAAAATTTGGACAAATTGAAATTCGTATAATTTAAAATTTACATCCAATTAAAAATTAGAAAAAATTGAAATTCGAATAATTTGGAAAATTAAATTATTTAAAATTTGGACAAATTGAAATTCGTATAATTTAAAATTTACATCCAATTAAAAATTAGAAAAAATTGAAATTCGAATAATTTGGAAAATTAAATTTTTTAAAATTCAGACAGATTTTAAAGTTCGGATAATTAATAATTGAAATAAATTAAAAATTTTTTTTGACAAATTGAAATTCAAATAATTTGGAAAATTATTTAAAATTTAGACAAATTTTAAGTTCGAATAATTAATAACTGAAATAAATAAGAACAAATTTAAATTCGGATCCAATTGAAAATTTTGGATAAATTAATTAAAATTGTTATTTTCTGATAAAAAAAAAAAAAAAAAAAAAAATTTTCCCTACTTGTGGCTAAACCCGATTTATGCAAATGTGTGTAATACTTTTTTGTTGTCATTACATTTTGTCAATTTTACTAATTAAAATAAATAAAATAAAATAAAAAATTAACAAACCTGCGGCACTCAAAGCGGGTCTTGATGCTCGTGGACTGACGCTTGTTGTTCGCGCCACTGCATTTAAACTGTTTATACTGCCACTGTTGCTCAATGACATCAATGATCTTTTATACGTTGCATCGAGACTATTTAACAAAATTTCCGCCTGCTCGGGAAATTGATCCTTAAACGCCCAATACGAACTAAAAACAAAAAAAAAAAAAAAAATATTATAGGGTCAGCCGGGGTAAATCCGAACGCTAATTATTTCAGCTTAATTAAAATTTTTAAAAATAAGTTCGATATGAGAATTTATACCTCAGATCCTCTTTAAGAGATTCTAAGTATTATCCCATTTTTCGTTTGTTAATTAGCAACAGCATAAACAAAGATAACGAGTATTGCAAAAAAAAGATTGAAAATCAAAGATGACACTCTTTCAGTATTTTGTCTCGTATTTCAAGAAAAAGAAGCTAAAAATTTATTTTATTATTTCTAATTGTTTTTGTTATGAATACTAGAACAGAAACTATTTTTCATTTTTGCCTTCTGTCAAATTTTATTAATAATATCAGACCGTTCGTATTTACCCATAGGAAAATTGGAAAACCGGGGTAAATCCGAACGGTATTTTCAATAATTTTTTTTTACATCAGAGCCACACAAAATTCTTTTTATTTCATTACACTATTATTTTAACATTATAAAAGAACATAGAAAAAAGTTTTTCTTTCTATACGTATCCTCGTTAGTAATTAATAAGCAGAAACTTAATCTCTGTTCTCTCGAAGGAGTGTTTCAAAATTTTTTTGTCAAATATGGTTTGTTGAAAAAAGTTTTTCAGGATCTTAATAAAATTTGGTATTCTACGGTTTTTGGAGTCGCTAATTACCAATTTGAAGTCAGTTTTTCAAAATTCAAAATGACGGACGAGAATTAAAAAATTCATTGGATTCGCTCGAAAATTGTTACTCGGGGGGGTTTCAGGGTCGCTGATTACGAATTTGGAGTTAGCAAATTTCATCATTTTTAAAAATAAGATTTAGAAAAGTCCGCCATTTTGAATTTAAAAAATTTGACTTTTATTTTTGTATTTACATTCAATCGCACTCCAAAATACTTTCTGTACCAAGTTTTGCAAAAATTCGTTATTATTTGATAAAGTTATTGAAGGTTTTAATTGTGTAATGCATTTTAATTTTTAACCTGTTTGATTTTTGTATTTATATATGATGCATTATTACATAATAGGTTTATTATCGTATTTTTTTTTTGAGTTTTTATATATAAGTTTAACAATTGCAATACTTTAAATTTATTTTCCCTAAGATTTTTCTGAAATACAGTGGCGTTCGTATTTACCCCGGTATTTTAGGAAAGTTGCAAAGTATCGCGAGGTAAATACGAACGCTAAGTTTCCTGCGATTGTAATTTATCAAAAATTTTTGCTACCCCATAAAATTGTTCTATGGAAGTAAAGTAACAACTTCATGCACCAGAATACCGGAAGTATTTTTTTTTTTAAAGAAAAAACTTATGTTATTGTTGAAACTTACTAAAAGCGTTCGGATTTACCCCGGTTGACCCTATTTTAAAATAAACTAAATTATATTATATTTTGTGACTATATTCTATTTAAAGGAAATTGAAATTTTTTTTTTTTTATGTAAAAAGTTGATTAAAAAAATTGTGTGTTTTTTTTTTTTTTTGAACATACCTTCGAGCAAAGGAACGTGCTTCAGGATCTGAATCGGCGATTCCCTTTTTAATTGAATCCTGTAGAATATTAACGTGTTTGACCAAAAGTTGTTGTGGCCAGGATTTTAAAATAAGATTCAAATATTCACAAGAGGCGCGACGTATTTCTTTGCTCTTATGATTCATGCACGATGTAATTATTGGAATTAAACGACTACCGTGCGTATGTTGTAGTATAAATCGTACGGCAACTGCACCCGCCGACGCCACGACCTGTTCACAAAAAACAAAAAAAAAGAAAATTATTATTTTAATTAATTTTTTGAAAATAATAAAAAAAAAATATTTGTTTTTCTTTCGTAAAATTAAATTTTTTTTTTTTTACTTACTTTGGCACTATTTTGAATGAGATTCATAAGAGTGAGTAAAACGGCTTCAGCAAAACTGGAGAATTTATTTTTCAATTGTTGACTTAAAAATGCCATTGTAATTGCGGCTTCGCGTACAACTTGCGATCTCAAATCCATACATGCCGTATCAAATGCTCGTTGCATATTTTTTAAACATTCGGCAAAATTATCATAATTTGGTCCGCCGGCAATTATAATTCCACGTAATTTTTTCATCTAGAAAAATCGAATATAAAAGAAAAAAAATAGAAAAAAAAAATTCCAAATTACTTAAAAATTACAACAACAACAACAATAAAAATAGATAAATATTAATTTCAAATTGATTAAAAATTTAATAGAAAAAAAAGAAACAATTTTGAAAATAATTACAAAAAAAGGCAAAAATAAATAAATACAAATTTGAAATTGTTTTTACAAATTTAATAGAAAAAAAAAAAATGATTTTGAAATTAATTACAAAAAAAAAGTCAATAAAAAAGAAAAAATAAATAAATATTATTTTGAAATTGGTTAAAAATCTAATAAAGAAAAAGAAAAAATTAATTTTGTAAACTAATTACAAAATTACATAAAAAAAGAAATAAAAAATGAAAAAGAAACAATAAAAATTAATAGGAAAAATCAGGGTGTCTAATAACTGCTAGGAAAAAAAATTCCCTGACTTTTTTCTAATCTAAATTAGACTAAAAAATTTTTATTCTGATAAAATAAAATTTATTTTGATAAAATTTTCAATTAAAAATCAATAATTTTTGTAATTTTCAATTCTAAATCATCTAAAATTCAATTATTTTCACAAAAATTTCAATTAAAAATCAACTAAAATTCAATTATTATCCAAATAAGCTAAATTTCAATTCTAAATCAACTAAAATTAAATTATTATACAAAATTTCAATTTAAAATCAATTGAAATTCAAAATTTAATGATTTTCAAGAATCTATAAAATTCAATTATTGTCTGAAAATTATCAAAATCGTTTGAAAGTAAATTATTTCTAAAATTTCAATTCAAAATAACCTAAAATTTAATTATTTTTAAAAGGTTCAATGCCAAATTAACTAGAATTCAATTATTTTCAAACATTTCAATTCACAATAAACGACAATTCAATTATTTTCCAAATTTTTTATTCAAAATTAATTATTTAAATTTTCAATCAAAAATGAACTTAAATTAAATTATTATCCAAAATTTCAATTGAAATTCAATTATTTTTTAAAATTTTCAATTCAAAATCAACTTAAATTCAATTATTTTCAAAATTTTCAATTCAAAATAAATTAAAATTCAATTATTTTCCATAATGTTAATTGAATTTTAATTATTTTCCAAAGTTACAATTTAAAATCTTTTAAAATTAAATTATTTTCAAATTTTGCAATTCAAAATTTTTTAAAATTCAATTATTGTCCAAATTTTGCAATTTAAAATCAAAGAATTTTTTTTTCTAATTTTCAATTCAAAATCAACTAAAATTAAATTATTGTCCAAAATTTCAATTAAAATTCAATTATTTCCCAAAATTTTAATTCAAAATCAAAGAAAATTCAATTGTTTTCAAAATTTTCAATTCAAATTCTTTTAAAATTCAATTATTTTCCAAATTTTTCAATTTAAAATCAGGAAATTTTTTTTTTTAATTTTCAATTCAAAATCAACTAAAATTCAATTATTTTCAAAATTTTCAATCCAAAATTAACAAAAATTCAATTATTTTCCATAATGTTAATTGGAATTCAATTATTTTCAAAATTTCACTTTACAATAAAAAACAATTTAATTATTTTCCAAATTTCAATTGAAATTCAATGATTTAAAAAAATTTCTATTCAAAATCAACAAAAATTCAATTATTTTCAAAATTTTCAATCCAAAATCAACCAAAATTCAATTATTAATCAAAATGTAAATTAAAATTCAATTATTTTTAAAATTTTCAATCCAAAATCAATCGAAATTCAATTATTTTCCAAAATGTCAAATAAAATTCAATTATTTTTAAAATTTTCAATTCAAAATCAACTAAAATTCAATTATTTTCCAAAATGTCAATTGAAATTTAATTATTTTCCAAAATGTTAATTGAAATTTAATTATTTTCCAAAATGTCAACTGAAATTTAATTATTTTTAAAATTTTCAATCTAAAATTAACAAAAATTCAATTATTTTCCGAAATTTCATTTAAAAATAAACAATAATTCAATTATTTTCCAAAATTTCAATTTAATAACATCTATAATTTTATTATTTCTAAAATTTCCCATCTTAAAGTGTTTGAAATTTAATAATTCCAATTATAACTCTCATGAATTTTAATTTTTTTTTAAATTTATTCATCGGAAAATTCAATTATCTAAAACAATTTTTCGCCTTAAAAGTTTTCAAATTATTGTATTTTTGTCTACAATTTCAAATCAATTTTTTAAGTGAAATTATCAAAAATTCATAAATTAAAAATCACTTAAAGTTCAATTAATTTCAAAAATCAAAATTTTAAATCTTTGAAAATGCAATTACTTATAAAAAATGTTATCCAAAAATTATTTGATAAATTATTTTTAGTTCTGTAAAATTTAATTATTGTCTGAAAAAATTAACAATATCTTTTGAATTATTCAATTATTTCTTAAAAATTCAACTTTAATTCTTTCAAAATTAGTATTATTTAAAATAAAATTTTATTTAAAAATTTGTAAAACTTGATTAAGTATTGCCCTGAAATTTTTTTGACCATCAAAAATTAAAAACTATGAAAAAATTTTTAATTCGAAATAAATTTCTTAAATCAGGCAGATTTTCTGGTACATTGAATTTCAAAATTAATACAATTTCAGTTAGGTTGTTAATTTGTTTGGATAATTAATTTGTAGTGAGTTGTTTGGTTTGTTTATTTAAAAATCCATTTATTATCATAATTTGCTTTAAATTTTCGTTCAATTTAAGTCGGTCATATAGATACCTTCTTAATCATATAACGATTAATATATATTAGTAATTCTCTAATTCTCTAATTGTACCTTTAAAAATGTGACAAACTCATTTCCACTTACTTATCTCCATTAAAATATTATAAATATTATCAAGAACAATCATGTTCTTGATAATTAATAATTTATTTATAAATAAGGATAATTAAAAAATATTAATGAGGAAACCCTCTTGGTAAGTTTATTTTTCGATAATAATAAAAATTATACATAAATATTTTTGAGGTTAACCTTTCAAATTTCAAACGAAATTACTTTTAACTGAAAATCAATTCTACCTTTTTATATAATAAAATACTAAGTCACACACTGTTTCCTTTATGTAAAATAAAAATTTTATAATTACATTTAGATAATATGTCTGAAGAGGCCTACCGTTGGCAGGCGAAAGCTCATAAAGCAAATTATGATAATAAATGGATTTTTAAATAAACAAACCAAACAACTCACTACTAATACAATTTCAATTTAACGGAATTTATTTCAAGTAAAAATTGCATAAAGAACAATTTTTTTTAACTGAATTGTTATTTTAGTAAATGTTGATTTATCAAAATATTTACTTAGAATTGTCATTGAATAAATCCACAATTAACAGAATTTCAATTTAATAAAATTCTTAATTAACCAAAGTTTTTATTAAAGAAAATTTTAATTCCGCAACTAATTCTTATTTAACAGAATTTTCTCATTTAAGAAAAATTCTACTTAGTTCTTTTTTTTTGTCAATTTTTCCAAACATAAATTTCGTTAAATTGAAATTATATTAATTTAAAATTAAAAAAAAAAAAAAAAAATATTAGAAAGAATGCTTTATAAGAATTCTGCTAAATAGAAATTAAATCGAATTTTAGTTAAATGTAAATTGAAAATTTTGCATAATATAAATTCCACTTTATACAATTTTTAAAAATAGAAATTCAATAATTTAATATTCGACGCCGTGAAAATTTTTTTATAAATTAAATGTGGGGTATTAGCATTAAAATAATAAATTATTCGTATTAATGAATAATTTACTTTATTTGAAGTTGAAACCGCTAAAATAAAATTCAAAATAATTTTGATTTATATTAAAAAAACCAAATATTTCACTGCAAAAAATTTAATTAATTGTTATCCAAATTTAAAAAATCATTTATTAAATTCAATAAATAGTAGTAAATAATTATTTACTTAATGAATATATATCACATTCTTAATAATTGATTGTGAAGGCCAACTTTTTAATTTGCATTTGCTTTAGGGAAAAAAGTAAAATTTTTTTTTGAAACTAATATAGTTACTTTAATTTATTTATTGAAAAATTCCAAAAAATTAAAGAAATTCCCTGACTTTTCCCTGACTTTCTCTAACCATTAGACACCTTGAAAATTACTATTATAATTAATATGAATCATAAAATTTAAAAAAAAAAAACAAAACAAAACAAATAACAGAAAGTAATTGTATTTTTAAAAAAAAAGATTTTTTCTTTTTTTTTTTGTAGTACTTACAGTTTCAGTTCTAAGTTTCCAGTCTTTTTTCTCGTCACCGACAATGTCTTTAATGACTTTCATCTGTTCTTCGAGATTTTTGGCAGAAAATATCGTCACATCGGGAACATCATCAAAGGCTTTTATGAATGTATCCTCGTCCACTGCTCCCGCTTGTCCTAAAAAATTATTATTATTCCTATTATTATCATTATTTTCATAAACCGTTTTTTTTTCAAATAAAAGAAAAAAATTAAAATAATTTCATAATTCAAAAGTAAATTTTTAATAAAAATATTAAAATAAAAGAAAATTAATTAATTTTTTTATTAATTTGAATGGAGGAAAAACAAGAAAAAGATTGTTAAGAAAAAATTAATTAAAAAGAAAAGAAGAAATTAATTAATACAAAAATAGTAAATAGAAAAAATGTTATTAATTAGAAAAAAAAATTTAATTTTAAAAACAGAAATAAATAAAAAAAAAAAAAAAAAAAAACACTTAAAAAAAATTTTTAGTTTATTCAGAAAAAGAAAATTTGGATAAAAAAAAGAAAACTTTAAAATTAAAAAGAAAATGTATTTAAAATAAATTTGATTTAATTTATAATATATACGTTCAATATGATAATGAAAGCGAATAATTAATTAATTATTACAAAGCAATGAAAAGCGTTATTTTTTTCTCCTTTTTTTTTTTTTTTTGCTTTCATTTATAGAAAAAATATGAAAACTAAAAAAAAAATTAGAATTTCTTTTTTTAAAGAAAATTATTTTTATCAACAAAAAAAAAGAAAAAAAAAAAGGGAGAAAAAAAAACATTGATACAAAATTTAAATTTCACATATACAAGAGACACACATTTAAACAAATATCGTACCTGAAGGTGGTTTTATTGACGGTATTCTTTTGACATTCGTCGCCTTTGTAATTGCATCGTGACTGTTTGTATCTGACATGCAAAGCGAATAGTTATACAAAAAAAAAAAGCTCAATAATGGATTAAACATTAACTTGCAGGTTTTTAGAAATTATATACTAATAAAAAAAAAAATAAATAAATAATTTTCTAATATGCATATTGGAAAAAAAATTTCTTATATATTTGAACCAAAAATAATTAAGCCAAATTTTTTATTCAGCCAAATATTAAAAAGTTGACTGAAAAAATTAATTTATCTCAATATTATGAGGCTGCAATTTTTATTTATAAACATAAAAATTATTTTTTAGCCAAATATTAATTTAAAAATTTTATTTTTAGGCCAAATATTACGAGATTAACAATTTTTTTTCCAGCAAAATATTAATGTGAAATTTTATTTTAAGGCCAAATATTATAAGGTTGAAAATTTATTTCACTGAATATTTGGCTAAATATATATATATATCTACATAAATTCGGCCTTACAAAATATTTAACCAAATATTAATATGAAATTTCATATTTTTTTTTGTTAAATATTATTAAGACTAAACATTTATTTCATTAAACATTTAGTTAAATAAAAAAATTAATTTATCTAAATATTATGCTGGCTGCAATTTTTATTTATAAACATAAAAATTATTTTGGCCAAATATTATTTAGGCTGAAATTTTCATTTACTAAAATATTTTAATGCCAAATTATTTCATTTCAGTCCAATTTATATTTAGCAAAATATTATTATACTGAAATTTTTATTATTATTATTATAAATTATTATTATTATTATTATTATTATTATTATTATTATTATTATTATTATTATTATTAGTTAAAATTTTTATTCAGCCAAATATTATTATACTGAAATCATTATTCAGCAAAATAAATTATGAAAACCGAATTTTATTCTGGTGAATTATTATAAAGTTAACAAATTTTTTTTATAGCCAAATATTAATTTGAAATTTTATTTTTAGGCCAAATATTACGAGGTTTACAATTTTTTTCCAGCAAAATATTAATTTGAAATTTTATTTTTAGGCCAAATATTACGAGGTTTACAATTTTTTTTCCAGCAAAATATTAATTTGAAATTTTATTTTAAGGCCAAATATTATAAGGTTGAAAATTTATTTCACCAAAGATTTGGCTAAATATATACATAAGTTTGGCTTTACAATATTAAGCCAAATATTAACATGGAATATTATTTTTTTTTTGACAAATATTAACATGGAATTTTATTTTTTGCCAAATATTATTAAGACTGAACATTTATTTCATTAAATATTTGGCTAAATAAAAATTAATTTTAAATTTAGCTAAATTTTGTTGGACTTGTTAAATTGTCCATTTGAAAAAAAAAAATTAAATAGAATTATGCAAAAAAAAAAAAATAAACAAAAAATTAAATTAAGCTGAATTGTATTTTTAATTAGTCGATAAAATACCGAAAAAAAATATGTTTCTTAAATAAACTAATTAGCTAATATACGATTATTATTAGATTAATATTTTAATTTCTAATTTCTAATTTTTTTTTAATTCTATGGCTAATTATTAAATAATTGAACAATTAAAAGTACATTAATTAGCAATTAATAAATTAATAATGACAATAAATAATATATTAATTATAATGACAAATTAATAATGATAATTTTGTGCCATTTAAAGCAAAAAAAAAAGCGTGAACAGCAATATATTTTTTTTTCTTCTAACTATGAATAATTAATGTTTATAATAATAATATATATATTATATATATATAAATATTTAAAAATTATTCTACGAGAAAAAAGTAGAAAAAAAATTTTTTTTTTATACCTGGCACTGAAAGCACTTGCTTTGCTGGTCCAAATTGACTTCTTTTTTGTAAAAGACTAGATGTGACTTTTTTAACAGGCGCCGAACGTATCTGTAATAAAATTTTATTTTACAAAATAGAATAAAAAAAAAAATTTTCTAATTTTTTTTATTATTATAAATATTATTATAAATATATTATAAATATAAAATAACAAATAACAAATTTTATAATTTATACAAAAAAAAAATTTTCTTTTTTTTTGTATTTTTTATTTATAAAAATTATTTTTCATGTTCTCTATTTAGAAAAAATTCCATTAAAAAAATAAAAAAAAATTATAATAATTTCATAAAATTTATATTTTTTTTTATACTCACCGCTCTGTCAGGTTCGTCTGATTCTTTTCCCACTGTAAATAGAAAAAGAAATAATTTTATATTGTCATTATATTATTATTTCTAAAGATGATGGAATCACAGTGAAATTTATATATATATATATATATATATATATATATATATAATTATAAAATAAGAACTTGAAATTCTTGTTTTATATATAATTTTATCGAGCAATAACAGAATATTTTTCTCTTGTTTCAGAGAATAAATAAATAAAAAAACCTTCTTTAAAAAAAAAAAAACAAACTAAAAATAAAAAGTTAAAATTTAAATACTATTTTTGATATTTTACAAAAAAAAAAATAAACAAAAATAATTAATTACAATTGTAATAATTACTATTACTATTATTAATAATAATAAAAAATAATTATAATTATAACTATTATAATAATTATTACCTAATTAATATTTATAATAATATAAAAAATAATTATTATAATTATTTATAATAATAATTATTATTATTTTTATTTATAACAATTATTATAATTAATATAATTGCAATAAAAAAAATTATTATAATAATAAAAAATAATTATAATTACAACTATTATAATAATTAGTAATTAATATTTATAATAATATAAAAAATTATTATAATAATTAATAGTTATAATAATAAAAAATAATTATTATAGTAATAATAATTAACAATATATTAATAAAAAAAAAAAAATTTTTTCTTAACTATTATTATTATTATTATTTTTTTCTTTTGGTGAAATAAAATACCTAAATTTGGATAAAGCCAGGGAGGTTTGTGAACATCACAATGACATCCTCTGGCCCTTGCTCCCGGATGTTTCATAATATTATCCCATTGTAGAATCCAACTGCTACTTGCGTCCCAAAGTTTTTTATCGATACTTGGATATTTCGCCAAACCACGATGTGGACATCGATGTCCATTTGTTATTAAAATCTCAGCGTTATTCATTATAATAATTAAAAAAAAAAAAAAAAAAAGAAAATTCTCGATTTTTTGATCCAAATTGATTTTAAACTAAATTTAATTTTTGTCTTTTAAAAAATAAATATTTCGGTCCAGCCGATAATAATTATTAACATTTTTTTTTTCTTTCTTTTTTTTGCGAATTAAATTCACATTATAATAGTAATAATAATAATAATAATAATAATTTCCAAATCAAATGGAAATTTTTTCTTTTCCCAATGAACCTTGAAAATTGCAAAAAAAAAAGAAGAAAAATTTAATTAAATAATTACTTTGAATATTTAATTTACAATTAAAATTAAATATTCAAAATAATAATAATTTAAAAAAAATTATTTTATAATAATTTAATTTTTGTGAATTAATAATTTCAATAAAAAAAAATTAAATAAATAAATTTAAATAATAATTATAATAATTAATTTATAATAATTTTAATTTCATTATAAATTAATAAATTCGAAAAAATTAAATAAAATAATAATAATAATAATTAATTTATAATAATTCGAAAAAATTGAATAAATAAATAAAATATTAATAATAATAATATATTTGAAAAAAGAGAGAAATTACTCTTTCGACTCTGGAAGTAAAGCAAAAGCAGAAAATCCCGGAAGTCACTAATTTTGAAATGAAATACAGGAATTACTAAATTCGTAACTGACAGAAATTTATGTGTTACTGTGGAAAGTGATATCCATTGTTTCATTCTTATCCACTGAGACTGATTTAATCTACAAAACTTGAAAAAAATTTTCAAACCGTTACAATTCTAATTAAGTCAGACTAATTATATTATTATTTACCGAAAAAAAAAAAATAAGAGAGAAACAATTTTTTTTTCTCCAAATTATTCGAAAGTCAAAAATGAAAAAAATTAACATAAATAATTATTAAATAATTAACAATAATTAACTATCAAATAATTAACAATAATTAATTATTAAATAATTACTACAATTAACTATTAAATAAATATAACATAATTAATTATTGAATAATTACTATAAAATTAACTATTAAATAATTAACGTAATTAATTAATAATTAATTAATTATTTTCAAATAAAAAATAACAAAAAGAAAAAATAATACCTTATATAATGGAAATATAAAAAATTAAGTAAATAAAATTCGTCTCTAAGTCGCAGGAAGTTAACAAAAACAAGAATAAAAATAAAATTAAAAAAAAAAAAAGAAAAAAAAAATAATAAAAACATGGAAAAGAAAAAAAAAATTAAGCTTCAAGATTTGTGAATGTCATTGAAATAAAATTGCGTCATCGTCAGAAGGAACGCATTGATAATAGAGATTTAATTTTCTTTCTTTTTAGTTATGTTCTTCTTTTTTTAACATTTTTTTTCTTTCGTGCCAAAGAATTTAGAAAATACAATAACAATAACAATAACAATAACAATAACAATATAATTATAATGGGTAATAAAATAAAAAAAATTTTTAATATAAGAAAAATGAAAGTAAAAAAAAAATTATATAATAATAAATAATAAAAAAAAATAATAATAATAATAATAAAATAACGAAAAAATTATAAAAATTATAATAAAATAATAAAATTTGTAATTAGAATGATAATTATTAAAATAATAATTTGTATTATTATTATTATTATTTTTTTATAATAATTATTATTTTTGTAATAATAATTATTTTTGTAATTTATTTTTATAATTTTATTATTTTTGATAATAATAATGTAAAGGAAGATGAAGAAAAAAAAAATTAAAGGAAACGTGAAACAAATGTTTCTTTTCTCCTTGTTCGACAAAAGAATATTAAATCACTTTGGGTGGTACATTACACACATATATATATATATGTATATACATCTCTCACAAACCGCGTGCGCTCACCAGTGATAAATTAAACCAAAGAAAACGTGTCATTAATGTCGAAAACGTCACGAGAATTATTATTGTCTGATGTGAGACTAGAGAATATTCAACGTAAGAACAACTTTTAGCCTTGCAAAAATATATATATATTCTCTCTTTGAAAGGACGAGAGAGATTATATATACACATATATACATAGAAAGGACGAATATTTGTTTCACGAGTTTTTCTTGTTCGCAAAATGGAATGCAATTTATTTTTTATTTAAGTTATAATTTTAGTTTTATATTTAATTTAATTTTTTTTAATTTTCACTTAATTTAATTTTATAATGAAAAAAAAAAAAAATTATTTGATTCAAATAATTGGTTTCTTGACTATTATCAAATAAATATTTATTTACATCAAGTAAATATTTATTTGTATCAAATAAATATTTATTTACATCAAGTAAATATTTATTTGTATCAAATAAATATTTAATTGTACCAAATAAATATTTAATTATATCAAGTAAATATTTATTTACATCATATAAATATTTAATTGTATCCAGTAAATATTTATTTACACCAAGCAAATATTAATTTGTATCAAATAAATATTTAATTTGTATCAAGTAAATATTTATTTGTATCAAATAAATATTTAATTGAATCAAGTAAATATTTATTTGTATCAAATAAATATTTAATTGTATCAAGTAAATATTTATTTGTATTAATTAATTATTTGTTGAGTCAATTAAATCGTATATTTGTTTAAAATACAAAAATTATTATTTGATCCAAATTCAAATTATATTTAATTTAAATAAAAATTATTTAATTCAAGTAAATATTTATTTTCTAATAGTCAAATACACAAACAATTATTTGAATCATATAATTTGAAACATATAATTTTTTTTCAAGTTTTATTTAATTTTAATTAATTTAAAATTGCAAATAAATTTTTTTTTTTAAATTGAAAAATTATAAAAATTAATATATTGAATAAAATTATTTATTACATATTATATTAATTACATTCTTACTTATTATTATTATAATTTTTGTTTGTACCAAATAATACATTTTATTAAATTTATATTTTTAATAAAATAAAATATTAAAATATTATTAATAAATATATTTTATTTTGTAATATTGGTTTATAAAAAAAAAAAAATTTTTTTTTTTTTGAATAAGGTAAAAAACCTTTTTAATTTAAAAAAAAAAATGACGATTTTGAGAAAAATATTTTTCCTTTAGAAAAAAAGGGGAGGGGGGGTTAAATTTTGAATTTTTTTGAAATAATTTTTACGGGGAAAAACATGAAAAAAAAAACCCTTTTGAAAATAAATAAGTAAAAAAAAAGGACAATAATATAGAAATTTAAAAAAATATAATACAAAACTAAAAATATGAAGAAAAAAAATTACTTGAAATTTTTTGAAATAATTTTTTTTTACGGAAAAACAAAAAAATATCTGAAATTTTTTGAAATAATTTTTTTACGGAAAAACAAAAAAATATAATAGGAAAAAAAAATACCTGAAATGTTTTTGAAATAATTTTTACGTAAAAACAAAAAAATAGAAAATACGAAAAAAAATACCTGCGATTTGAATATAAATATATATAGAGTATAACGAAAGTAAAATATCGAAAATAATTTAAGAAATATAAAATTTATATATATATATATATATATATATATATATATATATATATATATATCAACAAAAATTCGTGACTTATTCCTAACTTTATTTTGCAAGTAAATTGACTTTAATGTATATTTATTATTTCAAAACTTGTTTTCTCTTTTCCGCGCAAGATTTGTGAATCTATTGTTCCGGTAACATAACCTATATTATCGCACATTAAATTTTTTCTCTCTTTTTTTTTTCTTTGCAAATATCGCGATTACAATGCACACGTGCACTTTTTATGTTTCCGTATAATTATTTATTCCAATATAACTGCGTCTCAAAAAAAAAAAAAAAACGAAAAAAAAATTCTTACCTCAAAATAAAAAAAAAAAAAAAAACACAAAAATTTTATTGTAACGAGTAAAACTGCGATTTCTTCTTTTTTTCCACTTGTTAATAATTTGCGCACGATTTGCAGTATTCACTTCTTTTTTTTTTTTTTTTTTTTATTTTATATATAAAATGATGATAGCAACAATAAAAAATGAGGTTATG